AGTGATCCTCCCATCTCAGCCTTCTGGGTAACAAGGATTATAGATACAAGGCCCTGCACTTGGCCAAGAGGATGTAATTCTAAGTATATACGTGCCAAACACTGGAGCACCCGGATATATTAATATAAAGCAAATATTATTAGACCTAAAGGGAAACATAGAAATATAGTACTAGAAGCTTCAACATTAGACAGATCATCAAGATAAAAAAAAAATCAACAAAAGAAACACTGAATTTAAAGTCTTGACAAATTTAAAAGAATTGAAATCGTATCAATATATTTTCTAACCACAATGGAATATAACTAGAAATCAGTAACAAGAGGATGTATGATGACCACTTATATACCTAATCCTGAACTGTACTCCACATCTTTAAAATAAAAATAAATATTAAATTTTTAAAAATAACAAGAGGAACTTTCAAAACTGTACAAATACATGGACATTTAAAAGCATGTTCCTGAATAATGGGTCAAAGAAAAAATCAAAAAGAAAATATGTGGACATTTAAAAACATGCTCCTGAACAATGGGTCAAAGAAAATGTTAAAAATTTCTTGAATAAATGAAATCAGAAACACAACATACTTAAACCTATAGGACACAGCAAAAGCAAAATTAAGAGGAAAAATTATAGCAATAAACGTCAACATCAAAAAAGTAGAAAGATTTCAAATAAACAACATACTAATGTATCTCAAGGAAATAGAAAGCAAGAACTAATCAAACCCAAATTTAGTGAAAGGAAATAAATAACAAAGACATGAGAAGGAATAAAATTGAGAGTAAATAAAAATACAAGAGATCAATAAAATGAAAGGTTGTTTTTCTAAAATACTCAAGATTTACAAACCATTAGCTAGACTAACCAAAAAAAAAACAACTCAAATAAATAAAATCAGAAATGAATACCACAGAAATACAAAGGATCATGGGAGACTACTATGAACAACTATATGCCAACAAATTTAAAAGCCTAACAAAAATGCGTGAATTCCAAGACACATACAATCTACAAAGATTGAACCAAGAAGAAATAAAAAAACCTGAGCAGATCAGTTATGAGTAACAAAACTGATCAGTAACAGAAAGTCTTTCAACAACAAAAAAAAGCCCAGGACCATATGGCTTTACTGCTGAAGTCTACCAAACATTTAAAGAACGGATGCCAATTCTTTTCAAACTCTTTCAGAAAACTGAAAAGGAGTGAATTCTTCCAAATTCATTCTATGAAGTCAGCATTACCCTGATATCAAAACCAGACAAGGACACAATGAAAAAGAAAACAATAGGACAATATCCCTGAAGAAAACAGATGCAAAGAATCCTCAGCAGAAGTCTAGAAAACTCCAAAATCTTTCACCATGATCAAGTGGGATTTGTCCCAGGAATGCAAGGATAATTCAAAAAACACAAATCAATAAATGTGATGCATCATAGCAACATAATGAGGAAAAAAACACAGCATCATCTCAAAAGATGCAGGAAAAGCATTTGATAAAATTCAACATCGCTTCATGATAACAATTCTGGGAAAACCAGATCTATATGCAGAAAAATGAAGCTAGATTCTTATCTCTCACTATACACACATAAAAAAACAAATCAAAATTGATTAGACTTAAATGTAAAATCTATAACTAGAAAACTACTATAAGAAAACACTGGGCAAATTCCTTAGGACATTGGTCTAGGCAAAGATTTTTTGGGGGTAAGACCTCGAAAGTATAGGCAACAAAGGCAAAAATGAACAAATGGGATTATATCACGCTAAATGGCTGCTGTACCACAAAGGAAATAACACAGTGAAGAGACAACCTGTTGAGGGCAAGGCATGGTGACTCACGCCTATAATCCCAGCATTTGGGGAGGCTGAGACAAAAGGATCACTTGAGCCCAAGATCAAGACCAGCCTGGGCAACATGGCAAGACCTCATCTCTACAAAAACAAAAACAAAAAATTAGCCAGGTGTGATGGCATGCACCTGTAGTCCCAGCTACTGAGCAGGCTGAGGCAGAAGTATCACCTAGCCCAGAAAGTCAAGGCTGAGGTGAGCCATGATCATGCCACTGCACTCCAGCCTGGATGATAGAGTGAGACCCTGCCAAAAAGAAAAAAGAAAAGAAAAAGAGACAACCTGTTGAATGGGAAAAAACATTTGCAAACTATCCATCTGACAAGGGACTAATAGCCAGAATCCATAAGGAATTCAAGCAACTCAATAACTGAAAAACAATCCCATTAAAAAGTAGGCAAATGATCTGAATAAAAATTTCTCAAAAGCAGACATATAAATGGTCAACAGGCATGAAGATATGCTCAAAATCATTAATCCTCTGTGAAATGCAAATTAAAAACACAATGAGATATCATCTCACTATAGTTTAAAAAAATAGCATCACAGATGCTGGCAAGAATGTGGAGAAAGGGACACTAGTACACTACTGGTAGAAATGTAAATTAGTATAGCCACTATGGAAAACAGTATTGTGGTTACTCAAAAACCTAAAAATAGATCTACCACATGATCCAGCAATCCCAGTGCCGAGTATGTAATGAAAAGAAAAGAAATCAGTATAATAAAGTATCAGTATAATATAATCTGCATGCATGTGTTTATTATTAGCACAGTAATAGTTAAGATATACTAATTCTCCATCAATAGAAGAATAAAGAAAATGTGGTATATATACACAATGGAATATTATCCAGCAATAAAAAATAAAGTCCTGTCATTTGCAGCAACATGAATGGAACTGGAGATCATTATGTTAAGTGAAATAAGCCAGGCACAGAAAGACAAATATTATACATCTCTATTCATGTGGGGCTAAAAAAAATGGATATCATGGAGGTAGACGATAGAATGATGGTTACCAGAGACAGAGAGAAAGTAGAGAAAAGAGGATGAAAAGAAGTTGGTAACACGTATAAAAATACAGTTAGACATATAAAGAATCAGATATTTTAGCCTCTGAGCAAGCATTACTGAAAATATACTAGAGCCAGGCATGATGGCGTATGCCTGTAATCCTAGCTACTTAGAAAGTTGAGGTGGGAGGATGACATGAGCCCAGGAGTTCAAATACAGCCTAGGCAACACTGTGAGACTCATCTCTTAAATATAAATAAATAAAAAGAATATACTTGAGGCTGCACTCCAATAAAACAAGACTTTTAAAATGACATAATATGGAAAACCCTAGACCAACCCTACAAGGGGAAAATCCTAAGGTAACAGTTGTATAGCACACCTAGAGAGCAAATAGATCAGATTAGAAGAGAACTCCATGCAAAAGACAGTATGATTGGGTAGAATAATAGAGATCTCATAAAGGCACATTCATTTTCACCACAATAAAATTTTTAAAATAAAATATTATTTTTAATTGGAAACTTCAGGGAAAACAAAAAGCAATATAAAAAAGCTATGGCCCAAATAGAAAAAATAAAAGATGGCATGTGTTTTAGCACTGAAGAGACTATAAGAAAAGAGGCTCTGTACCAAAGTTAGTCTCCTTAAAGAGGTCCAAGATTCAGGCACAGCAGTCAAAAACAGTAAATGGAATCTAGCACAGCTTAGTCCTGTACCAACAACATTCACAAAGTCAAACTAATATAAATATTCTTCATTGCTTTTAAGAGTCAACATTCAGATGGAAGACTTTACTGTGAATGCAAAACAAAATGTTCAGCAACTTTGACAATTTAAAAGTAAACATAGCATCATCAAATGGCTGTTAAAAAATAAAATAAAAGTAAACAAATAGTTGATAAAAGGCAGGTGGCAGAAAAGGAAAGGAAATGTGAAAGGAAGGGTAAGAGTGTTTATCAATTCATTTTATATGAAGGGGTTTCAAGATACTGACTACTGTAGATAGATCAGTAAATAGGTATTATAATTATATTAACTGGAATCAGAAGTATTTCAGATTACAGATTTTTTTCAGATTTTAGAATATTTGCATATATATAATCATACATCAGGGGATGGGACCCAAGTCTAAACACAAAATTTATTTATGTTTTATATACACCGTATACGTCATGGTGATTTTATACAATATTTTAATAAATTTTGTGAATGGAACAAAGTTTTGACTGTGTTTTGACTGCAACCCATCATAAGAGGTCAGGTATGAAACTTTCTACTTGTGGCATCATGTCAGCGCTCAAAAAGTTTTGGATTTTAGAGTATTTTAGATTTCAGCTTTTTAGATTAGGGATGATCAACCTATATTCTTTCCGTCAAATTTATATATTGAACATTAACTACAGTGCTGATGGTTTAGAAGACATTAGGCTAAATCCGGACTGATCCCTTCACCACACTTCTTCTGGATGTGGGTTTATAAGTGTTTATGTGCACAAAAAAATGCATGACAATTCACATGCACACTTGAATGAGCACATGTATGTGTTTTAACTAAATCTATGACTTTAGCTTATTCTTCCAGCAACTTTGTCTAAAAGCAAAAAAAAAGTTAGCTGGAATGCAAGAGATAGTTAGAGAAGGGAATATTGTGGTTTACTTAAGACTGAGATTTAATCCATTTTTTCAATTTGTATAAAAAGTTACTGGCAATCTACTATCATATAAGAACATGGCATCTCCTCTCACTGTATAAATCCTAATGCCAAACCTAATGGAAATGAGAAGTATATCTGATGTTAAGAAACACTGGGGGTGGGGGGGACAGAAAGAAGAGGCACTAAAAGTATTTGAAAACTATTTTAAGGCTCTTAGGATAATTCACAGGAAAAGATCAGAATAAGTAAACTGTATGTTGATAGACCTCCAAGTCTAAGAAACAGTTTAACAGGAGAGAACTGAAGGCATACACTGACTGTACTGCTATCATCAATAGCTACCCATCAAAGACTAAATAAAAGCTAGAAATCATCAGTGTATAATGTTTAAAACTAGTGAAAGACTGAACTAGACCATCACTGAGGCAATAACTATGAGAGTTCTAAACTAATAAATTTTGACTTACCAACATCCATGGCAGTTTCCATGAAGCTTTTCTGTCGTGAAGCAAACTCGGCAAGCAATTTCTGCTGCCTCTCTCTAGCCTTTTGTCGCCTAGATTAAACAGAAATAAAGTTGTAAGAGCCAGGAGTGCTTAAGAGCTACCTACAATATTTCAGAAGTATATAATGTATGAAAAGCCCCAAGCACACAACTGAGAACAATCTATTTTCTATATTAGGTGTTAAATTTAATGTAAGATTTGATTATCCTTAACAGTATTCTACTCCTTTAAAAAGATTTCAAACTCACTGATTTAATAGGTTAAAAATAAAAGTCAACGTTTACTTTGACATAATAACTAAGGTAGATAAAATATTTGAATTTCCAACAACATAGGTTCCTAAGTATATCTCAGATGGTAGCAAGAGCAAGAGGAGTGTTCTTTAGCAAGGGACTAAAAATTTAACCCCAGGCACAAGTAATAGTACATTTATTGCTAGAAGAAGCTATGACGTTTAGATATAAGATACAATCTAAAAGATAAGAATAATCAGATTTACTGTTATCCTAAGAACAGTCCTCTCCTAGTAGAGAATGGAAAGAAGCCAGTAAGTTTTCTACTTTCTACTAGGAGATATTTCAAGCTTAGTGTATTTTTTTTTATGAAGCAAAAGAATGTGAAAAGCCTCTAACACAACATATAGAATAAAACTATATCCCAAATCTAAGCATACACACTCTCTTAGATTAATTCACATTATATTTATTATTTATCCCTTATCTACTTACAAAGAATGTTTTGAGACTGGTTGTCAAAAAAAAAAAAAAAATCCCCCAATATAATAGTACCATGTCATAAGAATAAGAAGATAAAAATAAACTATGGAAGAAAGGAAAGAGATTTCTCCAAATTATATGATGTTAACAATACTAGTGAGCATAAAATTGTACTCCCAGTAAGAGAAGGTTAAAACAGTAATTCAAACAATAAGGGAGGAAGAGGAAGAAAAAAAATGTTAAAAGCTAAATTATATATAAGCTCATTAGGAGAGACAAACTTTTTACCCAAACAAAACTGATGATGATAGCCCACGACATGAAAACATAATGGACAGAGTACAGCACAGCAGTTTCTTTTAATGACTATTATATCTATACACTATAAAAGTCAAAGCATTATGTTAAACTGGCAGGTTATGCAATCATTTCTAAGTGAAACCTAACAGCATTTTTCTATTAATCTGAAATAATCTGAGAATATAGCACACAGAACTAGAAAAATAGAGTATTAACAGTAATTTTTAGATTATTCACTCATCAGCTCCTATCCAATCAGTGTGGATAATCAGGAACAACTATAAAGTCAAATTCTGTGATCCACCTTAAGAAGCTACATATTTTTGCCAATAATATTCAAAAGATTTTTAACATTCCTTTTCCAACATTTGTAGATAATTTAGAAATCTACCAAAGAAAACTTGTCTAATTATTTTATAACCACTAACCACCATTTTATATTGTTTTTGAGTCAAAATATTATTATCCAAGTTGATCACTCACCTTATTCATCAAACTTAACTCTCAATGACATTGGACATTTCGAAAAATTAAATCTACCTCTCCCCTCTCTTCCCTTCCTGAACATGAATGGTAACAACAGTGTCCTAGCACAGGGTGGACACCCAACAATGTGGTACAGGAGGACATTCATATGGTAAAAGACTACAAGAAATTGGCTTTATAGAAGGGAAACCGGTTTCATATTATATGTTGAGGATTATGGATGTCAAGTATCTCACTATAGGAGTAAAGAGTTGTAAATATGGAAAAGAAAACAAGAATGATTTCTATGGAGTTAGACTGGAATTGGAAGCATTGGGGTGAACTCAGTTTTCGGTATACAAACATAGACATAAAAATAAATATAAGTTTCTCCCTATCCCCAAAACAAAGAAAGGCACACCAAGAAACACAACACATATAAGTTTTCCTAACTCTGTCTACTCAAAGGTCCTGAAAATAGCTATACCTCATTAGAATAAGCACATAGATTGTGGTTTCTAAATACCATTCTTTAATAAAAGCTATGAGACTTCTTGTAGAAATGGGTGACTCTAACTATAAGAGATGAGCCTGGAACATCTTATTGACTCAGAAAATAAGAATATGCTCAAAGAATGATAGGGATACATTGGACACAGGAATCAGTTCAAAGAGACTCCTACTGGCCAAATTTGAATAGTGTGAGAATCAAAGTGAATAACGAGCATTCAGATAACTTATAAAATAAAACAGGAACCCAAGAGTCCATACTGATAAAAATAAACAAATATATTTAAAGTTTTTATAGATCGGAATATTACTGCATCTCAAAGTACGTCTCCACAAATTACGTTTTAATTATAATGGGGGGAAAAGGTAACTTGACAGTAAAGAAGTCTGACAGACACCCTCATAATCAAGCGATCAAAGTTAATCATTAGTGATGAACCAAACTGGAATCATGTGACATTTCATGGGATGCTATGAAAAGTAAGCAGGAACACTTCACTGATATTCCTGTCAAAGATTCATAACCTGAATCTAACCATGAAGGGACAGCAGACAAACCCAAGGTGAAGGTAATGCTACAATGTTACTATTGCTCTGTAATCTTCAAAAGTGTCAAGGTCATGAAAATAAAGGAAAGACTGAAGAAACTATTCCATACTGAAGGAAACCAAAGAAACGTAACAATAAAATGCAATGGTGATTATGAACAGAAACTTTTCACTATAAGAAACAAAACTGACACAATTGTCAAAACTTGGGATGTAAGAATTCAATCATACTTAAATACAATACTGACTTCCTAAGTTTTAAAGTTGGGGTACAAAAAGCTTCCTGAGCCATTTCTATAAGTTTAATACTGCTTCAAAATAAAAAGCTTTTAAATATTCATTTTATCCTTAAAGGACAAATATTTGCCACAATAGAAGAAATGGAACCAAACAAAAATGTGCGCTAGATGTTCAGAGCATTCTAAGAGACCTTCAAAAGTGCTATGAGTCAATAACAGCATTGATAGAATACATGTTTGGTCTCCTATATCACTGCTTTGTAAATTTAAGCTTTGGCATGCTTCTTAAATGCAATGCTACAGCTCACTTTTGAACACGTATATTTACAACTAGACTAAATATGTCCATAAAAGTATCTTTTAAATAACATATCTATATATCAAACATAAGAAAACTTCAAATGTAACTGACACATGCATTTCTATACCAGCTTTCTATAATTACCAGAAATAAAATGTCATTGTCAGTTTTTTCTTAATCTAAGTTATTCATTTTCTAAAATTAGACATAAATATAAGTAAAGATCATTAACAAATGGCATAAGCAAGTTCTGGAAGATTCAGTACAACTTAAAAATTTTCCATTATCACCCCAGAGGTAAAGACACCGAAGTTATTACAGCCATCTAATGTTTCCTGTTTTCTATGAAGCTAATCTATAACAAAAATGATGTCAAGTTTGTCCATAGGTGAGGCACCTGGAAATGGATCCTCATTAAGTGTTTATAAGCTTTCTTCCTTTATTATGAAACTTAATCCAAACCAGAAGAAAGATACATATGAGAAGCACAATGAGATTCAAATAGATTTACCTCAATTCTTAGCTGTCTGCTACAAAATTAAATTCAAGTCTTGCTCATACCATCACTGCTCAAAGGAAAAAAAAAAACCTATTATAAGTCTTTAACATTTCTAGAATATTATTTATTACAAGAGTATTAGGATCTTGTAAATACAGTATCTTGGCTGGGCACAATGGCTCATGCCTATAATCCCAGTACTTTGGGAAGCCAAGGCAGGAAAACTGCTTGAGCCCAGTAGTTCAAAACCAGTCTAGGCAGCACAGCAAGACCTTGTCTCAAAAAAAAAAAAAAAAAAAAATCAAAGAATTAGACAGGTGTAGTGGTACATGCCTATAGTCCCAGCGACTCGGGAGGCTGAGGCGGGAGGATCACTCCAGTCCAGGAGTTTGAGGTGGCAATGAGCCATGACATCCCACTGCACTCCAGCCTGGGTGACAGAGGAAAACTCTTACTCACTTAAAAAATACAGCATCTATGTCCTCCAGTATCACATCTATTATTACTAATAATTTTTAAAAATCCTTAATCAAATAAAATAGACTTTGATTTGCTGAATGTTTACTTTCCTTTAGAGAAAATAAAGGATACACTATTATATAACCAGAAGAAAAGATCTTTTAGAAGAAGTTACCAAAAATAAAAATCTTACCTCATTTTCAACCATCTAATTTTATCAGATGTATCAAATTCTAGGCTGTTACTAATTCAAATTTAATGAGCTGTTATCTAAATTATGTTATTTCTTTATAATTCCTATTTGTAAAGTACTAAGAGAAAAAACAGGAGCAACCCTCCTAAATTCTCAAATTTTCTGTAACAAACTTTTACTTTTATCAGAGATGAAGTACAACTATGTATGTGACTAAAATTGCCCCTGATACAGTTATCAAAGAACGACCTCCTAACTAACAAATCAAATAGGATGGCCCATCTTTTCTGAACTCTGTAGCACTTAACAATTTTGATAAGTTTCTTCCTTTTTGAATGTCCTCTTCTTGTGCCTCCTCTAATGCCACTCACCCTGGTTTTCCTCCTACGCCTCACTAGCCATCCCTTTTCAGTCACCTCTGTAGCAACTCCTTCCTCAGTGGTCCCCTTTAATGGTTTTTTCTTGAGGTCTCTATTCACTCTTATCTTCTTACTATACACACTTTCCCAGATACAAGTATGCCACTGCTACCTACATACTCAACTCTGTAGCTCTACAAATTCTCCCTTAACTCTTGAACCCTATCTGATATATTCACCTGGACGTCCTCCTTAAACTCGGTAATGTCCAGAACCGAACATATCTATTTCACTACTAAGCCTGCACCCCGTCTAACAGTCCCTTATCTTGGTAAAAGGTAACATCATCCAAGTCAGAAGTATGGGAACCATTCACAACTTCTCTCTCATCTCCCACAACAAATTGATCACCAAGTCTAATAACTTGTACCTACTAGATATCCATATGCATCCCTTCCTCTTTATTATTATCACTTAGTGTAGACCCTCACCACAACTACCACCACTAGATTACTAACTAGCATAATCTCCTTATTTCCAGTATTACCCTACTCTAATCCAACTGCATGTAATTACATTGCATATTATTTCCCTACTTTAAATCCATCAATGGCGCCCCTGTAACCATTCATACACTAAGTGCCAGTTAAATGGTATACGGTTACCTTCTTAACCTTATGACCTGTTACTCCCTAACACCTTGTGCACCTAACACAGTATCTGTTACACTATGTTAACACTACTAACAACTATTCGTTTACCAGTCTGTCTCCCCACTACAGTATCAATTCCTCAAGGTCAGGAAGCACTGGACTCAGCTGTCTACAGAAGTTCCTGGTTGACACCCGATAAATGAGAAATAGATTAACAGAGTAAGAACCATCTTAGGCTGGCTTCCACTGATCATACAACCCATAACTGCCTATATTAAGATGAAAATACTCAAGAAAGCACCTCTAAAGCACTTCAAATTATTAAATGATGTGTTACTCATTCTGCTTACAACAGTAGTCCAGATAACAGTGTATTGACATACTTTTACCTATGTTGAAGAGACTGAGATGATAAAAGTTCAAGGTTTTTAATTTAAGATAATATTGAGGTGGTCCCTTTGTACTCTCCATAAGGGGAAGTGTGTATCCTTCCCATATAACTGTTGCTTTGGTAGACATCCTGGGTCTTTTAGCCTTATGTACACTCTTTAGAAGGTATATTCTTTTTTCCCCACAAAACCTTTTTAATTAATACTTTTCATAACATAACAGACAAAGCAATTAGAAAAAAAACATTTCAAATAATATTTTTAAGCTAAAATATAGTAAGAGTACATGAACTTTCAGAAAAATAAACCCATTCATAACAATCTAAATATTTAAGCTGAAATAACAGAATCTTTAAAACAATTAGCTAATTAGCTAATAGAATAAAAAATTAGAATACTTATGATCATATTATATTAGAAACAACGATTGTATTGAACTTGGAATGATAGATGCCTCTTGTATTTATAAAGATATTGATAGCTACAGTTATTCCTATCTTTTTGCAGAAGAGTCAGACTCACAGGACACGAAGATATTTCATAAATGGCTCATCCTGCTTTTAGAAGTTTAAGGTGTATGTGTGTGCATGTGCACACATGTGTGTGTGGTGTGGGTTGTGACAGTTTTATCCCAGAAGGGTGCTATTGCCAGAATCCTTTAGCTTAGAATGAAGTTGTTTTCTTTTATACCTGAACCAGGACCAAACGAATGAGATTTTCTTTTAAACAGATGAAACAATAACCATCACATGTCTTTTCTATTACTACTGGTTTTGCAGAATTGCCTTAGAAAAGTGGATACAGAGAGGCAAGATAAGGGCTTCTGAATTATTTATTGGTGGTTACCTTTTCAGCACATGAAAAATATTTAGGATGTTAACATGGTGCCTAGAATATTTTAGGAAAAGTTATTCCTAGAGGAATTTTGTCATATAATTGCAAGATATCCTCCAAAAAAATTATTTTGGTCATTTGATAAGATAATTAAACACTTGCTTGTGATATTGGAAAAGAAATTATGTTTTTCTTGGTATGCTTTTTTAATAGACACTGAACACTTTCCAAAAGTTTGACATTATGCTGAGCTTCAATCTCTCAAGATTCACCTTGTCATATTTATGATAGTAGGGTAGGTGCTGCTGACAAGGCTTTTGGGAAATAGTTGGTGACAATGCATAGTAACACAACTCTTCTGGCAAGCAAGATACCACGCAATAAAAGAACCATACCATGTTAATAGTCCTTGACCCACAAATCCCACTTAACATCATAAGCATCATTTATCTTGAGATAAAAACCATCATCCCAAAAAAGAAAGTCAAAAGATGGGAAAAAATGGTTTATAAATATTATAATTTAACAACAAATCAGAAGCAACCTAAAGGTCCAAATCTAGCAGTATAAGTTAGTTAGAATGTGTCTTAAAAAATCATCTTTTATAATTAGCAATTGTATATTAATAAAAGATTAGAAAAGTCCAAAATGAACTAAAGCAGTTGAATTTTATTTTGAGAACTATTTAATATATATACATATAATATATAACATTGCAAAGTTACATGTTATACATTTATGTTATAAATATATATCATATTATATTATAAATATATTTTGAGTCTGAGTCTCACCCTGTCACCAAGGTTGGAGTACAGTGGCATGATCACAACAATCATGGCTCACAGCAGCCTCAACCTCCTGGACTCAGGTGATCCTTTCACTTCAGCATCCCAAGTAGCTGGCACTACAGAAGCGCAACATCACACCCGGCTAACTTGTAATTTTTTGTAGAGATGAGGTTTTGCTACGTTGCCCAGGCTGGTCTTGAATTCCTGGGTTCAAGCAGTCCACCCACCTCGTTCTCCCAAAGTGCTTGGATTACAGGCATGGGCCACCATGCCTGGCCTTAAAATGTTTTTAAAAATTTGTTCTATTCTCATTTAAAGTTGAGTTGATAATCATTTTTGAAAAGAGCAAGAGAATTACTAGATGCCCTACAGCAATAACAGTAGCGGCAATAAGTTTAAGTTAGTAATTTAATGTTGAGTAAGAACGTCTCATCTTCTCTCCCCCAGTGAACTCAGTCGATCACATGTACAAGCACTGATTATGCTCCATTTCATTTATCTTACAAACTAATCATCTGTGACTATTGCTGCTAAACAGCCAGGTGATTCGCTTCAAATGACCAAAAGGGAGAGAATATCAAATCTTCAACTATACCTCACGTTTAAAACATTAAAAATAAAAATTACCTTTCTTCTTTGTCCAGTGTTTTCTTCTCTGCTGCAGTAATTTTTTTAGGTGGTACAGGAGGGGTCACTTTTCTACATATCTCTTCAATGATGCGTTTATTCATTCTGCTTTGCAATGCAGCTTTTAGTAAAATTCGTTCTACTGCAGTTATACCATCTCCATGACTGTATTTAGGAATTTCTGGTTGGATTAAAATTTCTATGTCATCAAGCCAAGGAGGATAGTAGGAGTTTTGTTTTCCTGAGAGTTTGTGGTGAAGTTTAATTAGCAAAGACAATATGCTTTCTTTAATTTCCAAAATGGCTGTAGTTAACTGTGGAGCTGAACCAGAAGCAGACCATTTATTTGAAGTTTTGGGACGAACCACCTGATTTGCTTCACTGCTACTGCGATTGATGATCTCCTGAAATTTCTTTCTACGCTCTGCTACTAAACTGAAAACTTGAGCTGTACCAGAATTCTACCATTAAAAAAGAGAAAGAAAGAAAAATCAAGAGAAGTCATTCAGCATCAATTTAGAAGACATATTAGTACTACATTTTCTAAAGGGAATGTTCAAAGTTTCATCCAAAGGTTTATTCAATAGATTTGCTCTTTAAATAAATCTGTCCCTTCACTGCTGTCTCTCAAATATACTAAATATCATTCCATCTGAAATAGAATGAGGAGGAGACTTTCAGCAATAATACTTTTCTCAACCTCCAACTCTCTACCAGAGACAATAGATAAAGCTTAAGTAGTATCTACAGTCATATTAAAGAAAAATCATAAGCTAAATTCTCCATCAATTTAAAGGAAAAGAAGTTGTTCTGTTAAACATTCATCGATAATACTATATCCTTTACTAACTTCTGGAAAACTACTATAGTTTCCAGTTAAGAAAATTATAAATTAATTTTTTAAATTTTCTAAGTTAATGAAACTGAACTGGTAATTAATTTCACTTTTAAGGAACCTTGAAAATTACTTCTGGCTCATGCCTGTAATCCTAGCACTTTGGGAGATGGAAGAAGGAGGACTGCCTGAGCCCAGGGGTTAGACACCAGCTTGAGCAACTTGGCGAGACTGCGACTCTACAATAAATCAAGAAATTAGCCGGGCTCGGTGGCTCAGCCTGTAATCCCGCGCCTTTGGGAGGCTGAGGTGAGTGGATTGCCTGAGCCCGCGGGTTCGAGACCCGCCTGGGCAGCAAGACCTCATCTCTACAATAAATCAAAAAATCAGCTGGGCGTGGTAGCGCATGCCTGTAATTCCGGCTACTTGGAAGGCTGAGGCAGAAGGATCGCCGGAGCCTAGCAGGTCGAGGCTGCAGTGGCGGGGAGCAGCCACTGCACTCCAGTCTGGGCGACAGAGTGAGACTCCAACTCAAAAAAAAAAAAACAAAAAAGAAATTAGCTGGATGTGGTGGCACATGCCTGTAGTCCCAGCTACTTGGAAGGCTGAGGCAGAAGGATCGCCTGAGCCCTGCAGGTCAAGACTGCAATAGCTATAATTGTGCCATTGTGTTCCAGCCTAGGCAACAGAGTAAGACTCCAACTCAAAAAAAGAAAAAAGAAAAAGAAAGAAAATTACTTCTAGCATAAATCCTTAAAGTTACTAAAGTAAAATATAAGGATGAAAAATCAAATTGATCTGTTTCATAAACAGACTTTTCAACTAAGTATTTTCTCAGTGTAACTGCTTAATAGCTCTTTTGCTAAAGCAGTCAAACTGCATTAGGGCTCTTAGAAATCATCTTTTAATTAAGATATGAGTCAGCTTAATGGATTTCATTTATTTTTTAAAGCAAGCATAGAAAGGGTGCTCCAATATCAGTTGAGCTTTTATGAGTCAAATTAAAGTAAACACTATTTTTTAACATCCAAGCTGTACTCTCCCAGCATTAGAGGCAAAAGCCTCTTATTGAGGTTCCAATATTTTAATTAAAACTTTTTACAGTGTTCATAGCAAAAATATGTTATCAAAGACAAAGACAGCTTCTACAAACAGACTCTATTATAAGAAATGTCTCAAGTCAATGCACTCTACTCACAAAAATATAGGTTGTAGAGACTAGAATTACTTAAGTTTAGTTACTTGACATATCATTTCAAGGTTTTTCACTTCTGCTGTACAACCTACATGCAATGAGAGCTGATTTTCAAAAAGAGTCCAAACATATGACATATAGAGTTTAAGACTTTTATGAGTTTATCAAAATTAATTGCCATGGATGCAAAAAAAAGTTATTTGTAAATGAGCATGCTGCCAGCAGTTAAATTTATTTTGATTTAGAAAATATCGAAGCCATTTTTAAGATGTTAGTAATATAGCTGCAATGCTAACTGTAAACAGACCAAAATGTGCTGCCTATAATTGGTCCAAAATATTTCCAACACTAATAAGAAAAGATACTATCAAATACTCAGTATTATTTTTAAGTTCAATAATGACTTTTCTTTAATATTAAGCTTAAATCACTTTATAAAAATAAATATATCTTTAAAAATTTATACCACACTAATTAAACACACATACACACACAAATACAAGTTTTTTGTCCCCATTTCCAGTTAAAGTCATGTTACTAGTTAATGCAAATACCATACACATCTACCTCTCTTTGAAGAACTTTAGGCTGTCTTGAACTCTGGTAGGTTAAAGGAAAAAGACTGGTAAGGCAGAAGTTGCTTAGATATATCAAAAGAAATAAAGACAATTTAGAGTTATCTATAACCACATTTTTTCTCTTTTGGGTATCATAGGATGACCTAAATGATACACCCCAACATAACATAAAATTTTCTTTTTTTCTTTCTCACTTTACACTTACTTGTAAAGAACCCAAGCTATCAGAGCTAGTGCTTGCAGGTGAGTCTCTCTTCACTTCAGGAGCAGTCTCTGGAACTCTCACTCTAACATAGTTTATAAAGTGCCGCATATTTGACACTAAGTTGCTGCCAGGAAACCAACTGTCATGACAACGTTCTGGTCCACCCACTGATGCCTAAAACATAAATATAATGAATATCAAACCTTACCACATCAGGTCTAAGGTACAATGGACATGTAACAAACCGAAAACATAATCCACTGCCCATCATAATTCTGAATCTCGTATAGTCCATCCATATTATAAAGTGATTAAATGTTAATTAAATTTTAATTTTAAAAAATTCAAACATAAAATACAAGAATAAATTTCTGAAGAGTAATAGGAGTAAGTCCAATGGAATTAGCTAAGTGTCTCCTAAAAAATACATTTTTTCAATCTGGAAATAATTGACATTACAGAATACTTATCATCATCCATTAGTAATGAGATAGTCAAATAATGCTAGTTTGGACTAATTGTGAAAGAAAGTCTGAAAAACCAACCAAAGGAATGACCTAGTCATATAGGAATCTTCATGACTTTTGGATGTCTATGAAAGAATATATGTTGATTCAACTTGGACTACAAAGAACTGCCAAGGTTTTTTTTAACTTGTTTGTTTTTTGCTACTATTATGTGGTGTTGTATTTTGTTATTTTGGAGGGAGATGAGGAAAATCTTACATATTAGTAAAATTAATTTGTAATAACAATTGTTTTTATGGAAACTATACTTCTGAAGTCCTGAAACACATTAACAACTTATATTCTTAAATACTTTAAACATTCTCTCACTTAACAATATTCATGCCATTACTTTAAATCTTTACAGAAAATAACTTGCTATTCAAAAACAATCTTTAATCAAATTATTAGAATTTTTAGACTGAAGTCCTAACTTCAATTTTACTCATAACTTACTGATTGATTACTAGTAATTGTGTAGCTGTAATCAACATTCTTAGTATAACACCAAAAATGCATTAACTACATTTTCTTAATTAATTTTTGTGATATGAAATTTCAAATTCAGTAATTCCATAAGTAGAGTTTAGTATATCAATTCAGGATCTCAAAGACCTAACCAGAGACATGAAAGACCTTTACAATGAAAACTACAAAACACTGCTCAAAGAAGTCAAAGATAACACAAACAAATGGAAAAATATTCCAGGTTCATGGACTGGAAGAGTCAACATTGTTAAGATGTTCATCCTATTTGGAGTCGATCATACTAAATGATCTATCACAGAAACAAAGAACAGAGTACCATATGTTCTCACTCATAAGCAGACCTTGAACAAATATAATACTATAAGAAATGAACTGGCAGTAGTGAGAAACTGTCAGGGGGGGTGAGATTGGTAGTTGAGGGAAACTGCTATGGGAGGGAGGGGCATACCTCATCAACAAGGGTACCTGCATAATCAACGTTTGTATACCTAACCCTGAATTGTACCTTATGTCTTTATAATAAAATAAATATTTTTTTTAAAAAACATGTCCATCCTACCCAAGGCAATCTACTGATTTAACGCAATACCCATTAAATTACTGGCAGCATTCTTCTCATACCTGGAAATGACACTACAGGAAAGCATATGGAAACACAAACGACCATGAATCGCCAAAACAATCCTCAGCAAAAAAAACAACAACAACAACAACAAAAACAGAGCAGGAGGCATAACAGCCCTAGACTTTAAACTCTATTATAAAGCTACAATAATCAAAACAGGCTGGTATTGGTACAAAATCAGGCATATAGCCCAATGTAACAGAACAGAGATTCCAGAAGCAAAGCCTCAAATTCTCAACCAATTCATCTTTGACAAAGCCCCCATCACCAATGACTGGGGAGAGGAGAACCTATTCGGTAAATGGTGCTGGGAAAACTGGATGACCACATGCAGAAGATTAAAACAAGATCCCTACCTATCACCATACACAAAAATCAACTCTAAATGCATCAAAGACCTAAATGTAAAACCGCAAACTTAGAAAATGCAGGAGACACCCTTATGGAAAGTGGAACTGGCAACCAGTTCCTAATCGAAACCCCAAGTGCCCATGCCATAAGAGATAAGATAGACAAGTGGGACCTCATCAAACTGACAAGCTTCTGCAAAGCCAAAGAAACCATCAAGAGAGCAGGGAGACAGTCCACAGACTGGGAAAAAATATTTGCCAACTGTATGTCTGACAAAGGCCTAACATCTAGGATCTTCAAGGAACTCAAACATGCCAAAAAGAAAAAAACAAACAACCCCATTACAAAGTAGGCAAAGGATATGAATTGACAGTTCTCAAAAGAAGACATATGAACAGCCAACAGATACATGAAAAAATGCTCAGCCTTACTAGTCATCAAAGAGATGTAAATAAAAACTAAACTGAGATACCACCTAACTCCAGTCAGGATGGCTATCATCAACAACTCAAACAACAACTCATGCTGGAGAGGATGCGGTGAAAAGGGAACACTTCCACACTGTTGGTGGCAGCGTAAACTAGTGTAGCCTCTTTGGAAAACAGTTTGGCGATTCCTAAAAGATCTAAAAATCGACCTTCCATACGAGCCCACAATCCCCCTACTGGAAATATACCTGGAAGAACTCAGATCACTCTAAAAAAAAAAAAGATACCTGCACATGTTTGTTTATCGCAGCATTGTTCACAGTAACAAGAACATGGAACCAACAGTGCTTCCCATCAAAAGAGGACTGGATTTTTAAAAAGTGGTACATATACACAATGGAATATTACGCAGCCATAAAGAACAAAATCAGGAACTTTACAGCAACCAGGATGAACTTAGAGTCTATAATACTGAGTGATGTATCACAGAAACAAAGAACTGAATATCGCATGTTCTCACACACAAGTGGACCTTGAAAAATTATAATACTATAAGAAAAGGATTGGCAGTAGCAGGAAACTGCCAAGAGAGAGGTGGGGAAGTGGGATTGGCAGTAGTGGGAATCTGCCTAGGGAAGGGGGGCACACCTCATCAACAGAAATACCTGTATAGTGAACATTTTTATACCTAACCCTGAATTGTACCCCACATCTTTAAAATTTAAAAAATAATTAATAAAAAAGATCTAAAAGACTGTATGTATTTGAAGATCAAAAAGGCTTTTTCTAGTAGTTCTTAAGAAGATCTTACATGGATATGATGAATTCATAAACATACTTGATTAACACATACAAAACAAAATTAAAACAACTGGCTAGAGACAGACAGGGTTGCCCCAATCTAAAAATTTTAAAATACAAGAAACTACTTACCTCTTCTTCTGATTCCTCCTCAGCAGAATTTTCAAGTCCTAATTCAATCAGATATAAAACCATGCAGAGTACATGTTCTGACAGATTTTGATGATCCATCAAAATCTTTCAAAAGGGAAGAAAATGTCCTATAATTAATTTTTTTCACAAAATGTATTTCATTTACAGATCCAAAAATAGTTTAATGCCATAGACGAAAATAACACAATCAGATATATAAAAACAAGATATGTAAGTAAAGCTACATCTTGGTGAAAACACAAAATAGATCCAAAAAACCCAAGTTTCCTCCAAGATCACATAGTACTTTCAGCAATATCTAGAGGTACCAGTTCATAGATTTTCTAAAAGTTAACATGTCAAACAGTTCACTAAAACCATTAATATACCAGTATCTAATAAAATAATTTAAAAAGAATATTTTACATCCAAGTTTGATAACATTCTTCTCCTAGAGACAAAGATATCAAATAAATGAGTTGACTAAATAGGAAAATTCATGCAAATGTGTTTAGCACAGCACATGGCATACAACTGAGAACACAAGAAATGTTTATAGAACACTAAAGTTGTTAAAATTTGTCTCTAAAATTAAAATTCTGAGCCTTTGAGTATTTGGTGTGGCTGTATAAATATTTATGTCAATGTGTGACATATGGATGAGAAAGGAAGAAGGAATACAAGTAGTTAGTAGAGAAGTTTCTTGGAGGAAAATTTGGTAAATCTAATCCATATATATGTATTTTAGAACCAGATTTTTAAACACAAATGTCGTCAATATCTATTTGATTCTGAACAACACACTCTAATCTTAGTGTTCTCATCTCTAAAACTGGAATTACAGTCCAGAATTGTGAAGATTATGAGTTAATGTCTGACGTTTCCTTAGTATAGTATTCAGCAATTGGTTTTCAACAAATAGTAAGCAGGTGGTGCTGATGGTGCGAGGAGTAGGGGCAGAAGCAGGAGGGTAATGAAGGCTGGAAGACAAGAGAAGTCATTCTTTGATCCACTATGTTAGCAGAGAGAAAAACAAGGCTCAGCAACACAACTAGCTAGTGTAAGCAACATTAGGACACAGACCTTGGACTCCCAGGCATTGCCTATCATTATTATACGTGAAGTCCTATTGATAAACACAACATGACTAGCTAAATACAAATAAATTTTGACTTGAAATCCTGTGGAATTATAGCTTTAATTGATTACTTAAAAGTTAAGAGGAAAAATCTCTTTATTAGGCACTACAAAAAAACTAAAGATAAATTTCCAGGAAGTTTTATTTTAACATGTTCTTTAATATTAAACTTGGCCAGGAATAAAGGTGATTTACTGAAAATGATTTTTAGGAAGCTGGCTTGCCAGAGTAAGTGCAATGTCAATTAGAGAAGTTTTAAAGTTGTTATTATTAAAGTCAAGAAAACTATTAGAAAGTTGAGATATCTAAAAATTTGCTTATAATGGTCTTGTAACAACTTAAACACTCCTTTTTTGATAAAATGCTATTTTTATATTAAGGAAATGAGTTGAAAAATATAACTTGAAAGAGCATAAGTTATTTGCATTAAGGTTTCCTTATTTTTTCATGAATTATTTAATACTTATTAATTATTACTTAAAACAATACTCAGCTTCACTATCTTAACTAGTTATTTAACATCTAAAACTCAATTTCATACCTGAAAAATAATAACAGAATTTTTTGCTCAAAGATTTTTACTAAACAAAATAATGCCTTAAGTGTATATAAAGCATTTCAAACAAAATCGGCATTAAGTAAACATTCTAAGAATGTCCATTATTTATAAAATAAATACAAATAATCTTTTTAGTATAAAGATATTCTATACTTTTTAATGAAGAAAAAGAGCACTTTAAACCATTTATTGAATAATCCTCTTAGAAATTAATGAAAATAAATCATTCAAGGTTTTTTTTTAAGCATTTGTCTAAAATTTTAACAGAAATAACTTTAACAAGTACAATGAAAAACTGACCACAGATAGGGTTGAAAGGAAGGGGGGGATAGAGAAATCTAAAAGCATTATTTCATTACAACATTAAGAAAAAAACTAAAATGTCTACTTAAACTAAATTTAATGTATATACTTTCTTAAATAATTTTAAAAATTTGTACATAGTAAATGGAAATTTACATAACAATGTTAATTTTTATTTGAATTTAATTTTTAATTTTTCAAATTCTAATTAGGAAGAGAAATAATAGGGTTTTTTGTATCTAATTTCATAACATTTATCATGACTATAGTTATTTCATAGATGTTTATAGCTATTTTATCTACATGAGTATATTTTATCTTTTACCTTTTGTCCAGATTAGATCATAAAATTCCCTGTTATATATGCATATACATACTACACAATATTATGTTTCATACAATTTTTGAGTACACAGTTAATGTTAGTTAAATAAGTCAGTCAGGTCTATGTGAGAAGACCCAAGAATAACACAAATTCTAGGTAGCAAGAAAATAAGAGATGATTAGTTCTCACTCACTAACTTTTGTGACCCTAAGATATCTATCAGAAACAATTTTTTTATACTGTCACATAGAAATCCCAATAAATCCCTCCAGGTCACATTGGTTTTTTTGTTGTTGTTTGTTTGTTTGTTTTTGAGTTGGAGTCTCACTGTGTCGCCCAGACTGGAGTGCAGTGGCCACTCCCAGCCACTGCAGCCTCGACCTGCTAGGCTCCGGTGATCCTTCCGCTTCAGCCTTCCAAGCAGCCAGAATTACAGGCACGCGCTACCACACCCGGCTGATTTTTTTTACTTATTGTAGAGATAAGATCTCACCAATTTGCCCAGGCAGGTCTCGAACCCACAAGCTCAGACAACCCACTCACCTCAGCCTCCCAAAGCGTGGGATTACAGGCTGAGCCACCGAGCCGGCCACATTGTTAATCAAAGGAAAAAAGCAAAGAGAACCACTCCAATGTACCACTGGCCCACATAGCTGCCATTTTAGTTTTGTCATTTTTGTGGGTTCTGGTGCCTGTTTGGTTTCTGTAGTTCATCCATACCTCTTGTAGTCCCTCTACAACATTTCACCACTTATTCTACAGAAGCCAAAAATAAATATTCCTACCTATAACTGGATAAAATAAATAGTTTCTCACAAAGAATGGTGTAGCTATTCCATTATTTTCAATTTGGATTACAAATATATGTGATTATAACATATCTTCATACATCTTAAATGTATAAATACACTTTGCTTTTATAAGTGGGCTTTGATATAAATATTATCCTTCAGCACTTTTCTTTGAAAATTATGAAAATAAATGCTAATCTAAGTCTTTCTATTCAAATTACTACTATACCTTGTAAAGCAGAGTGAATAGCACAATGTGTAAAGTTTTACAGTGCAAAAGTCTCATGAGACCTTTATAGCTAGGATGGAGTGATGTCCTTTTCTTATAGGGAGGCCAGGGATTTCCAGGGAATTTTCCACTCTGTTTTAAACTGTAAAAATAAAACAAAACTAAAATTAGATGACAGATTCAAAATTAAACTGTGGTTTAAATGTGATTTACAGGCATTAATTTCTGTCACATTTTTCTATGCACTACTCTTTTTAAACAAACTGCTTAAAATGCCAGATAGATATCTATTCTCTACACAGCATACATTACTATTTACTTTCCTATTGGATAAAAATGAGTAAAGAAAGCTAAGCTGCAAACTAGAAAGAAACATAAACTTTAAAATACTAACAAAGAGAAATAAATAGAATATAAAGTACTTAGCAAAGAAATTTCCAGTTCTAACAACTGACCAAAATAGATAACCTGAAAATTCTCCCACTACAATGGCTGGAAAAACTGTATAAAATATAAACTATAAATCTTTTGAATGCGTATTTGAACTCACAGAAAAGAAAGTGGAATTTTCCAGGTACCAGGAAAAAAAAGAAGGAATTAATAACAAGCACTAACACTGCACTGGTTTTTAAATTCTTGAGCAGACTAGTAACAAACAAGGTGATGGGCTCATAAAAGGCTCAGAGACGGAACTGAAATCCCACCTAAAGCTGAGATTCCTGAAAGGTTTTTAGTCTCAAGGAAAGGGTAACACACAAGAAGAAATACAAAGATATATGGAGATTTCATCACATCATTCAGACAATCTTCTGACAGAATTGATTTAAGAACAACAGGCTCCCCAAGAAGATAAAAGTTACAAACTTGTATGTAAGTACAGTAGTCCCCACTTATCTGCAGGGGATACATTCCAAGATCCCCAATGGATGCCTGAAACCATGGATACTACTAAATGTTAGATATACTATAGTTTTTCCTATACATAAATACCTACAATAAAGTTTAATTTATAAACTAGGCATAGTAAGAGACTAACAAAAATAGCTAATAATAAAATAGAACAATTATAACAATATACTGTAATAAGTTAGATGAATATGTGCTCTCTCTTCCTTTTAAAATATACTGTACAAGAGTCCTCTTTATACATAGCTTCACTTTCTGTAGTTTCAGTCACCCATGGTCAACTACAATCCAAAAATACTAAATGGACAATTCCAAAAATAAACAATTCATAAGTTTCAAATTGCATGCCATTTGGAGTGTTGTTACATGTTGACAATACATCATCTGTTTCAGGTGATCCTGGATCACTGGGCCATGACAATGTTGATGGCTGGTTGTCACGAGCAGACAATGTCAATAACGAAGAAGCATAGTACACTGGCAGACAGGATGGAGTGGAAGGGCACAAGATTTCAACACACCTTTCAGAATGGCACGCAACTTAAAACTTATGAATTGCTTATTACTGGAATTTTCCATTTAACAATTTTGGACTGCAGTTGGTTGCAAGTAAGTACAACTCAGATGGCTAAACTACAAACAAGCAGGAACTACTATAATAGCAGACTCTAAACACAAAAGGCAAAATTTGTGTTTTGAGAAACTGACAAACCCATAACCACAGTAGAGGATATAAACTTATCTAAATGAGTGCCCAAGAAAACAAAATGTCAAGGTTCTTAACACAATTAAGAAGCATGAGGCAGAGACAAAGAACATCCAACAATTACAGCATTCATAATTTTAAATGCACTTAGAACTTATATAAAAATAGTAGAATGACAAAATAGTAGGATTCAAAATGAATCTCAACAAATATCAAAAGAACTGCTATATGGACCACAATCACTTATCACACAGCAAGTAAAACAAGCAACCAACTTAAAAAGATAACTAAAAACTACAGACATATAGATGTTTCAAAACATTGCATTCTTAGAAATTCAGGTCATTATACATAATAAAAGAAAATTTTTAAAATTTAGAACCTAAGCTACAGTATACAGAAAAACTTGTGGGATGCAACTAAAGTAGCACTTGGAAATAAATACATAGTCTTAAATAGACTTTTTAAATAAAAACAACAAGTATCCAAATTATAGTTAACAGCACTTTATTATATATATTAAGAAAAGATAGCTAAAAGAGAAAAATTGTAATATTCCCAACAAAGAAAAATGTTTGAGACAATGGATATCCCAATTGCCCTGATTTGATCATTACATATCATACACATTTATCAAACTATCACATATACTTCAAAAATACATACACCTAAAAAATATCAATAAAAAATACAAAAAATAAATTAAAACAAAATCTGGTCAGACTTGGTGGCTCACACCTATAATCCTAGCACTTTGGGAAGCCATAGCAGGAGGATTGCTTGAGCCCAGATATTCAAGACCACCTACTTGGGAAGCTGAGCAGGAGGATTTCTTTAGCCTAGCAATTTGAGGCTATGTTGAGCTGTGATTGTGACACTGCACTCCAGACTGAACAACAGAGTGAGACACTTTAAAAAAAAACACAAAAAACCTGTAACAATAAAAATTTAAAAGGGAGTAATTCAAGATAAAACCAAATAAACTTGAAAAAAAAAAAAAGCATCCAAGAAAAGAAAAAAAGAAAATCCAAACTAAGTTGGAAGAATACCAAATAATAAAGAAAAAAAAGAATGAACTAGAAAACAAAAGAGGGAAAAGACAGAACAATAAAATGGAAGTTGGTTCTTAGAAATAATAGTAAAACTGTTAGTCCTCTGATACAACTACTAATCAAGAATAAGAGAGCTGGGCACAGCGGCTCCATGCTCATGCCTATAATCCCAGAACTTCAAGAGACTGAGAGGGGAGGACCACTTGAGGCCAGTAGTTTGACACCAGTATGGGCAACATCATAAGACCTAATCTCTATATAAAATTTAAAAATTAGACAGGCATGGCGGTGTGTGCCTGTAGCCCCAGTTATTTTGGACACTGAGGAGTAAGCTATGTTGGCATCACTTTACTCCAGCCGAGGAGTAAAAAAATAAAATAAATAAAATAAAAATAGGAAATAGCAAACACACATAAATAATATGAATAAAAAGGCAGATAGGATTTTTTTTTTTTTAAAGCAGGATTTATTGAGAGGACCAAAAAGCTTCCACAGTGGCAGGGGACCCAAGGGGGTTGCCACAGACAGGATTTTTTTAACTCATTAAGTATATATGTATAAAACAGAAGATTTCTTAGAAAAATATAACTTAGCAATCCCTTTCAAGAAGAAAAAAAATCTAAACAGGCCTATAACCTTTAAGAAAAGTAAGTAGTTTTAAGTTGCCCTTAAAAAAGGATATATGAGGCCCAGTTTTTGAATAAGCAGTTCTATCAAAACTTCAAGAAACATTACATGAATTAAGAATGAGACCAGCCGGGCTCGGTGGCTCAGCCTGTAATCCTGCGCCTTTGGGAGGCTGAGGTGAGTGGATTGCCTGAGCCCGTGGGTTCGAGACCCACCTGGGCAGCGAGACCTCATCTCTACAATAAATTTAAAAAATCAGCCGGGCATGGTAGCGCATGCCTGTAATTCCGGCTACTTGGAAGGATGAGGCGGAAGGATCACTGGAGCCCAGCAGGTTGAGGCTGCAGTGGCCAGGAGCGGCCACTGCACTCCAGTCTGGGCGACAGAGTGAGACTCCAATTCAAAAAAAAAAAAAGAATGAGACTGGACCACTACCTCGCTACATAAATAAAAATAAATAACTCAAAATAAATCAGCGACTTCAATGTAAAAGCTAAAACTATAAAACTCTTAGAGGAAAACATAAGCTTATATCTTTATGATCTTTTAACAGACATGACACCAAAAGCACATGCAAGCAAAGGAAAAAATGAAATTGGAATCATTAAAATTTAAAACACTTGTGATTCCAAGGACAATCTCAAGTAAGTGAAAAGACAACCCACAGAAAGGTAGAAAATATCTGCAAATCATGTATTTGATAAGTCTATTATTCAGAATATATAAAGAGCTCTTAAAACTCAATGATTTTAAAAAAAAGAAAAGAAAAAATGGACAACCAGTAACTTTATAAATGGAGGAGGGGAGTTAGAGTGCTAAAATAAGGAGGCTTTGATGAAAACTGCCTCTCCACCACTTCAACAGAATTTTGGCTAGAGGACTCATCTCTGGAGAGGACAAAACATCAAATACAGTTAAGAGTATGAGGATAAGAAATTAAAATCATTGTGTGCATATCTGAATCAGAGGTCTTGTCTCTTGTTCAGTTCACAGAATAATGGCAGCCATATCATTATCATCTAAGTAACGTGAAGATACTTCTCTGAGGAATCTGACCAGACCAAAAAAAAAAAAAGATCTAAAGAGACTAACATAAGGGCTTCTCAAAAAGCCTACCTACAGCTCCACCAATACACTCAGAGCTCTTAATAACAATCAGTCAGGATTATCAGACATCTGAGAAATCCTCTAACACAGAAGCTAAAGACTGAACAACAGGAAGTGCATCTTTGAGGAAACATACTACATAGATGAAGAAAGAAAATCTTAAAAAGAAACTATCATTAATATTCCAAAGAAATGAGTTTTATCTATGATTACGAAAATGCCATAAAATTAACTTTGCACTTAGAAAAAAACTGGTTTCTATATAACATTACAGTGGCAACATATAAGTGTTAACTTTCAGAACAATCCCAATGGCCATAATAAAATATTTCAACCATTCATTTAGCATAGAAAAGCAATTTTTATTTTGTTTCTTTATTTGTTTTAAGCACTAGTCCCTAAATGGGCAGCACCTAGATTAATAAAGTGTTCCAAAATAAAGGTTATATATTTGTTCAAGACAGCAAGCAATACATCATTTTGACTGCTTTTTTCAACAGCATTAATGGAATAATGCAAATGAAATGCTACATGACAGCAAAAATTCTTTAAGTGACTCAAACTGACACTTAATTATTGACCAGTTTGAGACAAAAATGATATATATAAACTCATACATCATACTTTAAACATTGGGCAGCAACCATTAACCTTCAAGATGGGAGATGGGAAGCAAGAGAAATACAAGAAATTAGATATAAAAAAAATTTGCTTTCCAGTTGAATTTAAAACAGCCACTGTATAAAACCACTTCAGTCTTTGGAAATGGCCAAGACCATAGCTCCAACACTGCTAGTAACATATTTCACTGAGCATCTCTGAACCACAATGTCCTCAAATATAAAACATAATACTAAATTGAATGGTTTTCCAACAGTTGCTTTGTTTTTTTGTTGTTGTCTTGCTTTTGTTTTCTTTTTAAGATCTGAACTGCCCTCTAAGGGATATTTGGAAGGGAGAGAGGGAAGCAAGATGAACCATTCCAAGTCTCTTAAGACTTTTCTTACTGTTGCCCAACCCCCTCTTCCAATGATGCCCCATGAGAACCTAGACTGGACCCTGAAGGCCTTCTCTTAGACTCTAATATTCTAAATAACACATAAAGCAAATTGGTATATTTTCACTTAAATTCTCGGTTTAAAACCAAAAGAAATTTAATTTTCATTCATTTAATAAATAAATATTTACTGGTTGCCTATAAATTCATCAAGCTAGAACCTTTTTTTTAAAAATAGATACAGGATCTTGCTCTGTTGCCCAAGCAAAAGTACTTGGAGTCATCACAGTTCACTGAACCTTGAATCACTGAGGCAATCCTTCTGCCTCAGCCTCCGGAGTAAAAGTTGATTCTGAGGATATAATAGTTTTAAGTTCTCCAACTATTTTTCACATCAGTCTCCAAAAGGCCTTTCTACTGCCTTTTGCAAATAAAAAAAGATCTCTCCCAGTAAAATCAGTTAAGTCACTTTTTGGTCCTTAAAACTAGAAATACAAATGAAAATGACCAATAGCCAATAAAATAATTTAGGGTTATCTTTCCACTTTGCTCTAATAGGAACTGAAACAGTCAACTGTACAGTCAAACATAAAACAAATAAAAGAAACTACACAAAGGACACAGGTGTTAGACTTCATATGGATATAATATTTTAAGTACACAAATGTTATCAGAGGAATGTAATACTTTGCTTATAAAATTTCAAGGATTGAGGGGGCGGGGGGCAAAAAACTTTCAAAGATTAATTTTAAACAGATAAAAGGTTTTAATCTGAAATCAAAGAGTATACTGTCATCTGTTGTTACTGCTTTGAGAACATATTTCTTCCAAACATGGATTTTCTAACTGCGGACAAATATCAGAGCACTTCAGAAATATTTCTAAAGTTGTACAAGAACTCAAAAGCTAAATAGAGGAAGGAGAGAATTAGGAAAAATAGAAAACAAAATAGAAAAGCAAAAAGACTGTTAAGAACAGCTTGGAGGATATGGTTTTACTGACTATGTGAAGTAGTTATAAATCAAAATATGATATAGACTTATACAATTAACAAAAAATAGATTTGAAACACAGGAATACCTGCAAACAGCAAAGTATACCTGTATGTCAATATAGGTCTAAACCAGGTTTCTCAGCCTAAGCACTAATGACTGGGGCAAGATAATTCTTGGTTGATGGGGGCAGACCTGGTCTTTTCCAGATGTCAGTGCAACTCAACCAGTCTCGGGAAATGCCATAAATCATCCTTAGTTAGGAACCACTGTTCTAAACGAAAGAAATAAACTGCTCAGAGCTAAATGAAAAATTTGCTAAGTAAAAAATATACGAAACAATTCTGGTTTCCTTACAGAATACCTGATATAAAACGAGCACTCAATAAATATGTGCTGTAAAATAAACTTTTCCCTTTAAAACTGTTTACACTGATAATTTAATGACTTCTTCAAAGCTTTGAAAGTTTTGGCCCAATCTGAGTCCAAATTTCTATCAATTACAAAGTAATAGAGAATAAAATTTACTTAATTCTTATACATTCAAAACAACTAACTACCTTCACCATCCTGAAGAAAAGGCAGTCACTTAAACAGCAACAAGTGTTTACGAAGTCCACATTGGATTTTTCTTGTAAATGCCTCCTCCCATCAATTTCTTTCATTTTTCAATTTTTCAACAGAAACTACTCAAATTTATTTATTCACCAAAAATGTTATGAATGTCTACTGTGTGCAAGCACTGAGATAAGTATTCAAGAAATAAAAGAGATACAGAGACAAAAATATCTTCCCTCAAGGTGCTAAGAGTTGAGTAAAAAAGCCAACAAGCAAACAAATTGTTAGAAACCATATGAAAGGCATACATAGAGGTAGCTAGGAAAACAGAAAGAGAATCTCAGATTATCTCCTCAGGAGTTTAGAGAAAGGCAGAAAGAGATACTGATGGTTAAGAATCAGCATTTTTTTAAAAGTTGTTTTGCTTTGTTTAGAGAGGAGGTGAATACTAAAATTCCACGTTATAAACTTTCTTCAGATATGGGTCTGTGATAAATATATCTATTACTGCAAAGTCTTGGCAAAAAAAGTTTCAAATACACTTTGATAATTATCTGGTAAATATTCTCCCAAAATCAAAGATATTGGCATCATTTTTCATTTGTTTTTTAAATGTTTAGCTTTAGAAAAACACAAACAAAAGATGACATCCTATGATATTCAGCAATACAATATTAACTATTAAGTTTTTTAAAGAACTGGAATTAAGACATTTAAAAATTGTCTACAATTTACAATAACATGCAAAATTGAATTCTTCATTAAAAAGATATCCTTTGTCAGGCACACTGACTGTACTCCCAGCACTTTGGGAGGTTGAGGTGACAGGATCACTTGAGCCCAGGAGTTTAAGACCAGCCGAGGCAACACAGCGAGACCTCATCTCCACAAAAAGTCAAAAAATTAGCCTGGCATGGTGGCATGTGCCTGTAGTCCTAATTACTCAGGAGAGTGAGGTGGAAGAATCACCTTAGTCCAGAAGGTCAAGACTCAGGTGAGCTGTGATCGCACGACTGCACTCCAGCCTGGGCAACAGTGAGACCTTGACTCAAAAAACTAACAAAAAAAAGGGATCCTTCAAAACTTGTTTTCTACAGCCATCAATATTGTAAACTACTTTGTTGAATATTTGCAAGTAAAATTCATTTTGCTTTGGCTATGTTCTTGTTGTCAAGAACACAGGAATATTTTCACACTTTTTATAGACAGTCATCATCTCTGATATCAGACAATTTTATTCTCTTAACTTGTGCCTCCTCTACTGGTTCAAAAGGAGAACAACACAAAACCAAACTTAATTCCATTGATAGAACAACAACTACATAAGTTTCTGTTTTTTGATTTAGCGATCATCTCCTATAAAATTTATTTTATCAGATTAACATCAAATTTTTGATGAATATCTTAACATAAATCTCTGCCAGATTTTTTTAACCTTAAAATATTATTTCACCTCTAAAAATAGAGTATACTTTAAGGCATATTATATTTGTGTCATAACTGAAATTTTTCTATATAAATACAAAATATCCCATTATGGTGTTAATCAATTTGATGGACTTACAATGCAGTATATCTGTCCATTGCAGACTGCACATCTCTACGGTAAACTGTTCGAAGAATGACCATGACAGGGTCAAACTCCTGATCCCAGACTTCAGCTATCATTCAAAAGAAAGTAGAAACAGAACATTGACTTCTTAGAAATAAAGTCAATCTTTAACAACTTATTACACGTGTGAAGTACATTTTAAACTTAAATGATAGAATAGTTTAATATGATTATAGTATTTGTTTGACTCATGACTACTCTTCTTAGTCAAAAATCACAATTTCATCATTAGGAATATTCTCTTGAGTTCAGCAAGCACTAGTGAGCAAAACTTTTATAATATAACAATGCCTCACCAGAAAAGTTTAGTTCAATTTTTTTTTTCTCTGTAAGATGTCTATTATAAAATAAGAAACCACAGTACATTAACATCATTAAAAGTATTCAAAGGTAAGAAGGGCATGGTGGCACATGCCTGTAAGTCTCATATACTTCAGAGGCTGAGGCAGGAGGATCATTTGAGCCCAGAAGTTCAAGCTCAGCTTGGGTAACACAGATCCCATTTTTTAAAAAAGTATTCCAAGGTAAAAACATAAAAACTAGATTAAAAGATTAATCAGCTGTTGATTTTCAGAGTTTTACCTTATAAACTTTTTGATTATAAAAGATTTTTTGCTCTTTTGCTAAAATTGATCATTGGTATCCTTACCTTCTGTGTAAGTAGGAACCACAATCCCATGTGTAGTATGTGTTCAGTTGATGGTACACAAGATAATTTTAAATATTAAGTATAAAAAGTTTTTTAACAACTATGTAATATGTATTAGAAAATATTAATTGCAAATAAAACTCATGATTTCTCCCTAATAATTATGCTTATGATAAGGTGAAGTTTGTTTTTTTAAAGTTAACCCATTTTAGAAAATAATGAGATACTAAGTATATCACAGTAGAGTTGATATTTGTTTATTTATTTGTTTTTTTAAGACAGCAGGATTTATTGAGAGGACTGAAAAGCTCCCACAGTGAGAGGGGACCCGAGGGGGCTGCCCAAGATGATATGTAGATATGGCAAAAATCTAAAAGACGGGCTAATAATTTTAGAAACCATTGCCTTAAGAAAGTTTACTTCCTAGATTAAGTTTTTTTCTCCTCTAATCCTCTCTAACAAAATTCTTAACATTTGAAAACACGGTTAAGAAGCTTACACTTCCCTCTACATATCTACTATAATTTCAGTGTTTTAGTACAAGAAACTGTTAAGCATTGTTCCTAATTTCATGTACAGGATAGTCATCTTAAAATATCAGAAATATCACTTAAAGTTCTGAAGCCAGTCCTTCACAAAATTTTTTTATTACTTCTATCATCACTTATTATCCTTCACTTTAAAGTCTATTATTTTGCAAAACTAAAATGCCAATGCTTTGGAATGGCAATGGAAGAAAACAAGTGATTAATTAGTCCCGTGGGCTTCCCACACTGTTCTTTGGAGCTGAATTTCCACAGAGTTATAACAAGGGTCATTTTAGGAGCAAGGTATGGCAGAGCAGGGAAGAAGCTAGGTCCACTACCCACACACACTTTAGCAAGAGTAGTCTAGCATTTATCTGTTTTGCATAAAAAATTCACTTAAGGCTCAGTTCCCTAAAACCAAAGGTTTGTTTCAACCACTTTTTAAAAAGAAGTTTAAAAATCATTCATCTATTCCAGTTCTCTCACTTTACAGATAAGAAGCCACATACAAAGATTAAAAAACTGATTTCCTAAACCACGCAACTAGCTAATAAATTTAGTACTGTATTTAAATATGAAACAGCCTCTTAGCTCTAATCTCCAAATGCCCAGTGTTCCATCTCATGTCTACTGTTCATGACAACCACCTAGAGAGCTTGTTTCACAAAGCAGATTCCCAGATTCTATCCACAGAGATTCTAATGAGAGCAGATTAAAGATGAAGCATAGGAACTTGTATTTTTAACAAGGACCACAAGTGAGTCTGACAGAGGAAATCCTCCCATAACACTTTAATAAGCACAACACTATACCACACCAGAACACCACTCTATTCCCAAGTTCATCTAAATTTTACACACAAAGTGATCTCTACAATAAATAAATACTGTGCTTCTTCCCTTAATGAAATACATTCCAACCAGAGACTCTAGATTGTCTTGCTACATGTGAACTTCTTGAAAAATCCTAAATGATAAGGTTTTTCTGCTGCACTCTGCCAAACACAGTACTCTATATGCTATTTACAACTTCAAAATGGGCTTTGGTTTTTCATTCAGCCAATGAGTATTGAGGGGGTCAAAAAGCATGTAACTGCTACTTCCTTCAAAATTTTAACTTACATAAGTAAAAATATAAACTCAAAAAATATATAAATAAATAAAGATTGAATCAAAACTTCATCTACTTCTGGCTCTTGTCAAGCATATCATATATAAATCTAGGGGGAAAACCTTACAAAACCAACCAGCCACTTAAGGAAAAGGTTTCTAAGCATTTACATAGGTTCAAAATAGACTTTTATTTAAACTATTTATGTTAAAATATGGGTAATGAGGATGAGGAGTGTTTCAATGTTTCAAATCAAATTTAGAGAGCAGATACATTACAAATGTTTTCTAAATATACATTGTTTTATAATTTTTGGTACATTTATGGTTATGTTCACTTACAAAAATGAACTAGAGTCCATATAAAAGTGCCTTTTCTATATATAAATTTAAATGGAAGCAAAACCACTGTATATAAAAAGACATACATTCATAAGAAAGATGAGAAAAGAAAACCAAAGCTGAACAAATAAAAGGTAAGCATTTTCTTTCAGTACACACAAGAATACACCTTTAGACAACTAATGTTTCAAAGCATACATTTATGTATATAAACATACCTTTGGGAGTATACATGCCCTGTTGCATAGAACCTCCAGGTTCAAAAACAGGAGCCTTAAAATCAGCTACAGCAGACAAAACTGATTCAAAGCTGTAACTGCCTGGAATAATGCCACTTTTGGGATTGGGATTTTCTGGAATATGATGCATGTGTCAAGAAAAAAATATGAATGACAAAAAGCCAGTTTCATAGCCTACCCAAGGTACTCTAGTTTTTAACTGATCTTGCTAAAAATATAAAAATATGTCTATGGCCATACCACCCTGAACACATCCAGTCTCTGATCTCAGAGCTAAGCAGGGTCAAGCCTGGTTAGCACTTGGATGAGAGAAAAATACCTCTAAAAAAAGAAAAATAGTAATTGGCTGTAATATATAAAGTCGGCCACAAGAGGGCTATATAATACAACAGCTCAATAATAACTTTTCATTAATTGTGATGTTTTAAAATATTTTTAATCTAGGAGCTAATCTACTAATAAACTGAATGCTGTATTAGTTCTCAGATATATTTTCCCCAAAACAAATTCACCAAATTTCAGAAAAGGAGGGAAAAATTTTTAGTTGAGATTCATTTTCATCATTTTGTAAATAATATTGCATCTTTCTTTAAAAAAAAAAAGAATGTATTAAATATTAGCCAAGATTTTTATGAGCAAATATTTTTCCAAAATCACAAAATTTCACCCTCCCACAAAAAAAAAACTAGCTTAGAAAAAGATTCTAAGCAAGTTTAAGCAAAGAAACAAAGCAGCAAACCACAAAGATACTCTTCCATTTGTTTCACATTAAGTCTACAACTCTTTTCTAAAATTCAAAGGTACAGAGGATGTTTTTGCTCTATAACAGCACTAATACATAGTATATGATGGTTCAATAAAATGATCAGACAATATTAAATTGATGCTGCTTATAAAAATCATGAAGATTGTCAAACAGGCATTCTAACAGGAGTTATTTCACAAAACCAAAATTTTAACTAATTCTTCCAAACACAGTCACAAGATACACATAAACTAAACTTTGTCAAATATTTTCATCACAGAATAACGTCTTTGCCTAAAATTTCACTAACATTAACTAAAAAATAATATAAGACACTTATTTTATGCTCAGTTCTATACAAAGAACCACAAGTTCCCAGATTGTAGACAATTATCTACAAATTTGAAAATCCTTTAAGACTGAGTTCTAATGAAAAAATCCTTAAAATGTTTAAAATGTTGGTAATAATGAGGAATATCTTTAATTGTTAACCATGAATTCCAGACTGGCTACGCAGACAAAATAGACTTAGCTGCCTTTTTCAGTTTCCTTGCACTAATGCTGCACCTAGAATGCTAGATTCTAGAGTACAGAAAGCCATCATTCAGACCTGAGGTCTAATCTGAAGTCTAAGGAGAGCTCCCCAAGAGGTAATAATAAGAGGTTAAAATAAAAACCTGTCACCAGTCCTAAACACATACTTGAGCGAACTCCTGGGATTTTTCTTTTTCTATATTATTTTTCAACATTGAAAAAAAAACAAAGCAGGGGGGAAACACACTTCATCGAAAAGGGTACCTGATCTTAACCCAGGCAAAAAGGGGACCAAAGTCAAGTTCAAACTTTGTACAATGATCAACTGTATACCTAATCCTGAATTGTACCCTACAACTTTAAAATAAATGATTAATTTTTTTACCTTTTAATCAAAAAAATCAATAAACCTATAATCTGTATAAATTACTTGTTATTTTAGATCCTGCAACTAACAGAAAATTAAACTTTTAAAAGGATATGAGGTCCAGCAATGAACTATGTGTCCTGTCATTCATACACAGCTGGGCTACCATCTCTGCCCTGAGAATCTCATCATCAGACATTCCTAAAATTATTAAAAACAGAATTAATAAATCTGAGTATACAAAAATTATTAAGAAATAATTTACCACACATTTGATTAAACTGCTTTACCAAACATGAGATGCTGCAAATTAGAGAGTAAAGAAGCAGTGTTCCAAATAAAACTACAGTTTATCTGTTGTTTGCAGTTCCTGTAGCAAATGATTTTTTAAAGGATATTCTACAAGGTGTATCAATTATACAGCATATTAAGAGTTTGAAACAATCTTTAAATATACCCACATCCTTTCCTTTTTTCCATAAGCCAGTTACTACCACAGGAAGAGGGAGGAAGGGAGAACAGTTAATACCTAAGTATTAGTAGGATTCATGGCTTTTACCTAAATGTAAACGAAGACTCAAAAGAATCACAAGAAATGTAAGAGCGCCTTCTAACATCGATCTCTCATGCTCTGTATCTAGTACTGTATTTTGGTGTTGTGATGCCATTGTCAACAAATCCACTACTTTAAATCTACAAAAAAATATTGAGACAGATTTTTTTAATTAAGACAAAATTAACTGGACACTTCCTAATATCAATCTTAATAAAATTATGCTTACCTTTCAAAGACAGATGAAATAAAATAATCTGGGTCAAGTCTAGAAGCACAAACCTTTAAAAGAAAACAAATGCTTTATTTCTCAATATTTAGTTTTCCTTCTTCTATTAATCATATATTTTTTTTTATATCTTATGATGTTTTGACATCTTGAGAGGCCTTACTGACCCAGAGAGAGAGAGCTCCTCCCAGGTCAACTAACTCCTAAACATAGTAAACAACTTACTTAGGAACACATTTCTCATGCAAGCCCACCACCATCTTTATCTAACTCTTACACATCAACTCAGTATTTCCCCTGCCCTAAGTCAACCCAGAGCCAAGTACTACAGAGCCAGTTAGGTACAATCCCTATGCCACAAAGTCCACTGGAATTATTCAAACTAGTCAGACATGCCTTGCCTTGTCTTTCCTGAAGAAGCCCCAATAAAGGCTCTGGCCTAGGCTCTCCTCTTACTCCCTTCTGCCTCCTGACCAGAACCCAGTGTCTGCCTTGTGGCCCTGTGCTGTGAGGCAAGCTCCCTTCTCTTGGGAAGTTTAAGTAATAAATTCTTCTTTCGATGGCATTAGCCACCCCATGTCACCACTCAGCCACCTCCATAAGTTAAAATCCCATGGATACAAATGAGGTACTTCCAACAAGTACAGTGTCAAGTTGCTTACCTGTAATAAGTAAATGTCAGGATCAATCATGGAATTACAGAAATGAGACTGGACATAGGTCATGGCTTGTCCTTTGATTTGCAGACCATTTCTTACCCACATATTGCTGTGGATTTCAGCAAGACTTGCCTAATAAAATAAAAAATTATGTAAAATGGACAAAGAACAAATCATCTAAATTTAATCTTTATAAAATATATTAAACAACCATTTCAAAATATTTTATGATTTAATCATAATATGAACTTGACATTCTGTCCAATGTTAAAGATATTCTATCCAAATATATACAATTTTACATCATAATTATGCTTTTGTGTAGCCACGTTTTTAGAGGTTTTCCATGATAGTCTCCAGATTTTCACTGAAACCTTTCATGAGGAATCAATGTTTATATGTTTCACTCTATGTCTTCTTTTTGCAGCCAACAGACACATGGAAAAAATGGTCGGCCTCACTAGTCATCACAGAAATGCAAAATAAAACCACACTGAGATACTACCTAACTCCAGTCAGGATAGCTATCACCAATAACTCAAAAAACAACAGATGCTGGAGAGGATGCGGCAAAAAGGAAACACTTCTACACTGTTGGTGGAAGCGTAAACTAATACAGCCTCTGTGGAAAACGTGTGGCGATTCCTAAAAGGTCTAAAAATTGACCTTCCATACGAACCCGCAATCCCCCTACTGGGAATACACCCAGAAGAACTTAAACCACGCTACAAAAAAGATACCTGCACGTGTATGTTTAGCGCAGTATTGTTCACAGTAGCAAGAACATGTAACCAACCATGCTGCCCATCAAAAGAGGACCAGATTTTTTTAAATGTAGTACATATACACGATGGAATATTACACAGTCATAAAGAAGAACAAAATCATGAACTTCACAGCAACCTGGATGGACTTAGAGTCTATAATACTGAGTGATCTTTCACAGAAACAAAGTACTAAGTATTACATGTTCTCACTCATAAGCGGACCTTGAACAATTATCGTAATACTGTAAGAAAAGGATTGGCAGTAGCAGGAAACTGTTGGGAGCGGGAAGGGGAAGCAGGATTGGCAGTAGTGGGAATCTGCCTGGGGAAGAGGGAGCACACCTCATAAACAAGGGTACCTGCATAATGAACACTTGTATACCTAACCCTGAATTGTACCCCACATCTTTAAAATCAAAAGAAAAAAAAAAACAAGAAAAAAGAACAAAAAATCCTAACTTATATAATATGTAAAGAAACACACTGCAATCAACATAAAATAAAATATAGCTACTTTGTTCATTCTACATCTTTAATTCATCCTAACTCAATCTTCAATCTAAACTACTAATTTTCCAAATAACAGGAGGTACAAAAGGTCAGATTAGAATAAATTATCTTACTATATCAGTATTTAATACTTCATATATTTATATCCAGCATCAACTAAAACTGGTAATCATAATTTTATCTCTTACTTGTTCTTAATCACTAGAGTTGAAGTTCAGTAATAATTAACAAATCCAAAATTGGCAGGAAAAACAAACTGATGTGCAAGACTCTTTAATATATATGAAAGGTTGGCCCACAAAATTACAGTGTTAGAACTGAAAGAAATCATAGTGCTTACATAAGCTAAATTTCTCTTCTTTCTCCTTTCACTTTACAGATGGAGAAACTGGAAACCAAGGAGGTGAATACCCTAAGCTATGTGGAAAATAAAATAGTGGTAGCACTAGGAGTAGAATCTGTTGGGTCTACTAACTCCCAAAACAATGCTGTAGTATTTTTAAACTCCCCCATAAGTAAATACAGTGACAAGAATTCCTGGTAAAGTTAAAACTAAGAATAAGTCTCATAGGATGGAAAATACCTAAATATAATCTGGCAAAAATACAAGAACTCAATTTTTTAAGAAAATTTTTTAAACATTTTGGTTATGATAAAAATTATAAAGTCATACAAGTAAAATAAAGGAAGAATCACTTAACCAAGAAATTCAGTTCAAAACTTTAAAAACCTGTATACATACTTGAATTTGGAGTGGGTGAATCATTAGTTTCATTAACATTTCCTGATCTGGCAAAACAGAATCCAAATCTAGCTCTTGACATTTCACGGCCTAAAAATTAGGATAAACAAGTTACTAATTCAATAATTATTTTGCAAACTTTTTCAAAAAAAGAATTATTTAATAACAATCTTACCTTACTTAAAAACATAGCATAATAACGATGTAGTGGTAGATGAAAAGTGACTTGGTTAGGTGCTGGCTGTAATAAACAAATAAAGCCCAAAAGTTAAAGAATGTTTTAGAGTTCTAAGACAGTTTTAAAATATTTTTTTGTTTGTTTTTGTTTTGTTTTACTTTATTATAGAAATGTATGGTACAAGTCAGGATTAGGTACATAAGTAATCTACATGCAGATGAAGCTTGGGCCTCCAACCAATCCTCACATCCCCTAGTTTAGGACTAGGTACCCTTAATGTTGCCATGTGTCCCCCCACAAGACCAGGCAAAGTCTGGGCGAGGTGGCTCACACCTATAATCCCAGCACTTTGCGAGGCCGAGATGAGAGGATTGCCTGAGCCCACAGGTTCAAAACCAACCTGGGCAACTTGGCAAGACCTCATCTCTACAATAAATTTAAAAAAAAAAAAAATTAGCCAAGCGTGGTAGCGCACGCCTGTAGTTCCAGCTACTTGGAAGGCTGAGGCGCAAGAACCGCCTGAGCCCCGTAGGTCAAGGCTGTGGTGGCTGTGAGCGTGCCACTGCACTCCAGCCTGGGCAGAGACTCCAACTTAAAAAATAAAAAAGCCAGGTGAAGTGACTCAGGCCTATAATCCCAGCACTTTGGGAGGTCAAGGTGGGAGGACTGCTTGAGCCCAGGAGTTTGAGACCAGTCTAGGCAACATAGTGAGATCTCAGCTTTACAAAAAATTTTAAAATGTTTAAAAAGTTATCCAAGCATGGTGGCACACGCCGGTAGTCCCAGCTTCTTGGGATACTGAGGCGGAAGGATTGACTGCACCCAGGAGGTTGAGGCCAATAGTGAGCTGTGATCATGCAACTGCAATCCAGTCTGGGCATCAGAGTGAAGCCCCGGAAAAGAAAAAAATGTTTAAACCATAGTCTCACCTGAATTTATTCCTATACTTTATCAAAACAACATTTTAGAAAATACAGATTTAAAAATCACTATAAATAATACCATTTTAAACACCTAAGTGCAAGTTTCTTGAAGGCAGAAATGTATCCTACTCACTTTGAATCCTCTGAAGAATCCAGAACTTATTAATATTTCTTAAACTTAATTAAGCTGAAGCAAATATTCATTATAAAAACAAGGAATAGAATAAATTTCCCTCTACAGTAGACCATTTGGAACTCTTCAAACGCATGTATCTCAAACATGATGATAGTAATAAGAACAATAACCACAGGTAAAATTGAGCACTTACTGTGTGCACTATGCTAAGCACTTTATTCACATTTGAGTCTCAGAAATTCTCAGAAAAACCCTATAGGTTAGAAACTATTAATATAACCATTCTGTAAACAGGAAAATTCAAGCCAAAAGAAACATAAGTAACTTCCTAAAGTTCAAAAATAGTGAACTGAGAGGGTAGTCTAGACTCCACTGTTATATTCAAAGTGGTAAGAAGATACTGATCACATCCCTAAACTGTGGTACAAATGCAGGACACCCTCAGACTCCATCACCAATTGGGTGAGATGCTTCCAATATCAATACCAAACATATCAGCCCCCATAACAAAACAGTAAATAATATGTCAATGACCTTAGACATCCTTGCAAATATTATAAAAATTGCATTTTAAATCTGTGCGCACCATTGGTCACAATATCACTACAGGGCAAAATTATACTACAACTGTTCTTCTTAAACAAATAAGATAAAAATTTTTCAGTATTTTTCTGCTTTTAATGCTTTTATAAGTTTTTAATAAATATTTTCTTGTTAAAAATGTATCCAGAACATTCATATAATTATGCTAATATGGCATCATTACAGAGGTTTTAAGAAATCAAAATATGTTATCATCTCTGAAATACTTATTTTTTTCAAAACCAATATGAGAATAACATCCTCCTCAATATGTGAAGGCTATAAAGAATTGTTCTAATAGATAAAAATTTGTCCTCCATAAAAGAAAGAAAATTCTGACATGTGTTGCTGTATGAATAAACTTCAAAGATATTATGCTAAGTGAAATAAGTCCATAACAAAAAGACAACCACTATATGATTCCACTTACATAGGGTTATCTAGAGTAGTGAAATTCATAGGGATATAAAGTAGAACGGTGGTTGCCAGAAGCTGGGGGAAGAGGAAATGGGGAGTAGCTATTTAATGGATACAGAGTTTCAGTTTTGCAAGACAAAAAAGTTATGGAGATTGGCTGCACAACAATAAGAATATACTTAATACTACTGAATTATACAATTAAAAATGTCTAAGATAAAAAATTTTATATTTTATATGCATTTTACCACAATTAAAAATAAAATTTTTAAGTTTGCTCTCCATTACCATAGCCATTTTAGTAACATATTCTACACTAACAAGCTAAGTCAAAATCTCCCTCAATTTGCTTTGAAGATATTAAGCACAGTGGTGAAGTACAGACTCTTAAGAGTCAGACTTTATGAGTTCAAATCTTGGCTCTGCTGGGCTCGGTGACTCAGCCTGTAATCCTGCGCTTTGGGAGGCCAAGGTAAGTGAATTGCCTGAGCCTGCGCCTTCAAAACCCGCCTGGGCAACTTGGCGAGACCTCATCTCCACAATAAAATCAAAAAATTAGCCAGGCGTGGTAGCACGCGCCTGCAGTTCCAGCTACTTGGAAGGCTGAGGCAGAAGGATCACCCAAGCCCAGCAGGTTGAGGCTGCAGTGGCCGGGAGCGGCCACTGTACTCCAGTCTGGGCAACAGAGTGAGACTCCAACTCAAAAAAAAAAAAATCTTGGCTCTACCACCTATAGCTGAAAAACCAGGCAAGTTACCTAACCTTTCTGTCCTAAGTTGTCTAACCCATAAAGTAGGGATAGCAAACAGTAGGACAGCTGTGAGGAATAAGTAAACATAGTACCCACTACATATTGCTATTAACTACTAAACCATGGACTCCATCTTATCTTTCAGCATTGTAGCATATCCTAAACTCACATTCTTCTGTAATGTTAAATTCCATACTTCCTCCTTGTCTAATGTCACAGATTAGCCACTTGATAAATTCTTCTTCTTCTACTCCTTCCATGTAATACTGATGGTCCTTGGATTCCATTCTTCACTCTCTAGTCTTCTCATTATAAGTGGACATTATCCAGATTCACAGCTTCAACTGCTAACTCTACCCAGATAATTCCCAAATCTCAGAAATCTTACTCTTGAACTCCAAATCTTACATTCAAGTGTCTATTTAACATCAAAACTTATTATCCCAGAGAAACAATAAATATAGTGTGTCCAAACCAAACTATCTTTTCCATAAAATTCAATGCGTCTCAATATTTATTCTCTGGATTCCCAGTAATTTTTTTTATTTTAAAGATATGGAGTGCAATTCAGGATTAGGTATACAAGTGGAAGTCGTACAGGCAAAGTTTGGGCCTCCTTTTGGTTCCCCTTTTGGTTCCCAGTTTGCCTGGTTTGAGATCAGGTACCCTTACTGATGTTGTGCTCCACCCTCCCCCACCCTCATTTCCAACAAATTTTTTTTTTTTTTTTTGAGTCTGAGTCTCACTTTTTTTTTTTTTTCCTTGAGTCTGAGTCTCACTCTGTCACCCAGACTGAAGGGCAGTGGCACGCTCCCAGCCACCGCAGCCCAGGCCTGCAGGGCTCAGGTGATCCTTCTGCCTCAGCCTTCCAAGTAGCTGGAACTACAGACACATGCCACCATGCCCAGCTAATTTTTTGATCTATTGTAGAGATGAGGTCTCGCCCAATTGCCCAGACTCCAATTGCCCAGACTGGTCTCGAGCCCGTGGGCTCAGGCAATCCTCTCACCTCGGCCTCCCAAAGCACTGGGATTGTAGGCATGAGCCACCGCACCCAGCCTCCCAGTAATTTAAATATGAAATGTAAACTCATTCCTTCTCATAAGTCTTCTCCGTTTGATAAGGTGCCAAATTATGTTCACCTATTTTTTAAGTATCTCTTAAATTCACTTTCCTCTTTCTACATTGCACCTACCATTACCTCAGGCCCTCACACTTAATGTCTAGATTTTAGCAGACAGCCCATGTTTCTATTACTACCCCATGTGAAACACCTTTTGTAGTGTCTGCCTAGCTTACAACCTTCCCATCTTCTCAGAACATATCCCTCTTTACTCCCTGCCAACCCAATCACACATACAGGGATTGGGGCCTGTCAGTCAAGTCTATAATGGCCACCTGTGACTAGAATAAGGGGAGACACCTAACCCAACCTGAGCAATGAGTTTCTCTCTTTTTAAAAAAAACTGGAACTGGGATTCAGAGACATTCACAGGCAGTCTAGGGGTATGCCTGAAATAGTAACATTGGGCAACTATAAGATGGCAACATATTACCACATGGGTAAAGCACAGAAAGGGAAGAAAAAATAAGGCAGATTCACACAAGACAAAGCAAAGGCAGAAGAGAGAAGTTCCTATTCAGCTTTCCAGTCCATTCCTGAGGTCCAGGCACCCTAAGATCCCTGAAGCACCCCTGTGTATTCATAATGAATCCACCCTTCTCTAACGTAAGCTACTTTATTTTTCCCTTTGCATTCCTGTAACTTAAGCTGCTTTATTTTTTCCCTTGACTAACATATCTTTCTATTTAGACCTCTATATGCTGCCAGAAGGTGGTCTTACTAAAACATTAATTTAATCTTTCATCTTCAACTTCTTCCACTCACAATCGTTTAATGACTCCCTATGGTTTTAACCTCCAATTCCTGAGAAGAGCTTACCTCTCCAGCCTCACCTCCTGTCATATAAACTCATGCACCATAGGTAGTGCCCCTAACTCACAAGGCTTATGTACCTTGGTGTGAGCTATTCCCTCTGCCCCAAATGTTATACATCCCTTCTCCCACTGGATTAACACATCTTTAAGAATTTGCACAAATGACACTTCTACTAAGAAGCTTTTCCTGAGTTATTCAGGCTAAATCAGGTACTCCTTTTTATCCTCCCCCATAGCACCTGGTCACAACTTCACAAAAGCACTGGAATCAAATTAACCATTTACTTGCCTTCCACTTCCTCAAGTCATAAATACTGTTTTTTCACTGTATCCCCAGTGTTTACAACATAGTAAACATTCAGTAAACATTTGCTGGATGAATACATGTTCTACCTTCCTCTAACAGAGGACTCCAAACCACTACCCTGCTACAAACTCACAATAATTGTCCCACATGATATTCAGATATTTAAGAATTCTTAAATACCTTAAATGCCTTATAGGAAATTTTATTCCACCCCTTGTTTCTATACAATTATTTGATTTGGCTTCAGTTCAAAACATATTATTTGCTTGACTTGTACTAGATTACCACAGTAACTTCTGACATCCACCCACAAGAATGGAAGAACTAATATTCATCACATATGTAGTATGTGCCTCTTAGTCAATCCTCATTCATTAATATTATCATCTTCAAGGGATGAGGACATGGGCTGGGCAATGTTAAAAACAAAAATAAAACTTAAAAAAATATGTCTACAGTCACATAGCTAGTTAGATTATGGGAGACCTTCAATTTACACTCATATCTGCCTGACTATGAAGCTCTTTCCACTGCCAAAAATCAAGACAGTTAAAGCACTACCAGATAAAGAGTTGAGAAATATGAACTCCGGACCCAGAACTAACAGTAATTTGCTACATAACAACAGGCAAGTCATTTAATTAATATCTCTGCACCTCCATTTCACAACTACAAAGAAAAGGGGAGGTAATAATAAAAACTTTCATACACTACATAAAAACAAAATATACTGCTTGATTCCTTACGTTTTATACTTATTTTCTGTTCTTTTAAAAACCAATTTAAATTTTTTACAACATTCAATATCTTCCTAAAAATATTTCTATGTGTAAATATACTATTTCCTTCAGTTCAGGGGCTCTGTATATCATATATGATTTTAACTATACTTCACGCCTGATTTGAACCATGATGTATCATTTTCTACATAATCCTCCTGTATAATTTTCCCCCTACTTCAGTCTTCCTGTTATCCTAGCAATGCTATCTCAACAATAATTCCTAAAGTTTCCAATACCAAAGAAAACTGGGTTGAGAAAAGCTCCAGCTGATGGACTAATCCTGGATGGGGCAAAGAAGGAATAAAGCAGGTTGAAAGTAGGAGGGAGCTCTGTGGAGGCTGGAGAATGTTTTCTCTGAAGACTGGCATTTCCACTTATATAATAAATATCAACAGTCAGACAAGGCTAAGAATCAAGGTGATTTAGTAAAGGCAGAATCCAAATGGACAAAATCCAGTTTGAAGACTAAGAGTAGACATAAATGTTGAGGGATAGGTGATCAGGGGTGAAGATAAATTAATTTGGAGCAGGAAAGACTGGAGTCAACGATAACAGAGTTCTTCCCTTCCTGAAAAATTCATTCCTAAAGTCACTGGGAATTAAGAGAGGGGAAAGGGCAAAATAAGCATGTAAACGTGAGGAGAATGAGAGGGATGTCAGAGCCCAGACTGAGGAGGGCAACTGTGATGGAGAAAGGAGGGACTGAAATGTCAGAGGTTACTCAGGGTGATAGCATAGAGGGTGATTTGGCATAGGGTGTGTGGCCTGGCATAAGTTAGACAAAAACAGGGTCAAAAGGGCACCCAGAAAGCAGGGAAGCCCAGTATAGTGTGTCAGAGCCAATTTGGGTAAGGAGGGCCTCCACAATGGAAGCCAGGTTTCTCAGTTAAAGAAACTAGACTAGGCTGGGCATGGTGGCTTATGCCTATAATCTCAGTACTTTGGAGGCCAAGGTGAGAGGATTGCCTGAGCCCACGGGTTCAAGACCAGCCCGGGCAACTTGGTGAGACTTCATCTCTACAATAAATCAAAAAATCAGCCAGGCATGGTGGTGCACACCTGTAGTCCCAGCTGCTTGGAATGCTGAGGTAGAAGCATCGCAGAGTCCAGTAGGTTGAGGCTACAGTGGCCATGAGCATGCCACTGCACTCCAGCCTGAGCAACAGAGTGAGACTCTGACTCAAAAAAAAAAGAGAGAGAGAAACCAGAATAAGTACTATGATGTTATACTGGGATTAAAAATATAAGTTAGAACTCATTGCTTTCTCTATATAGAAACAGAAAAACAAGTATGTGTGTGTATATATATATATATATATATATATATATATATACATACATATACTCCTAACTTCTGTTCACTGTGAGGGCATAGGAGCAGTGACACCTCAAAAATAAAGAGCACACCTAGCACCCAGATCTCTCTAGTCTGTTCTTTGCTAAAAATAATCAGGAATCCTTAAAGAAATGACTGATTCCAGGAATGAATAGGGAAATTATAAGGTGAGCCTGAAACATCCCATTGGACCAGAAAACATGGAAATACTCAAAGAAAGATGAGACAAGCAAAAGAAACTAGCTTGAAGGAGCTCTTGCTAGCCAAATTCCCAAAAAATTGAGTATCAAGTAATAATAGTAATAGTTTCTAACTCACCAAATAAAATAGAAACTATGAATCCCAAGAGATAAAAATAAATTAGTTGAAATTGATTAAGAAAACTGATATATCTCCATAGCTTCAAAGTATGTCCTCAAAAATACTTCATTAATTACAATGAGAACATTTGGGAGGCTGAGGTGAGTGAATTGCCTGAGCCCGCGGGTTCGAGACCTGCCTGGGCAGTGAGACCTCATCTCTACAATAAATCAAAAAATCAGCTGGGCATGGTAGCGCACGCCTGTAATTCCGGCTACTAGGAAGGCTGAGGCGGAAGGATCGCCGGAGCCCAGCAGGTCAAGGCTGCGGTGGCCGGGAGCGGCCACTGCACTCCAGTCTGGGCAACAGAGTGAGACTCCAACTCAAAAAAAAAAAAAAAAAATTACAATGAGAAAAAGGTTAACTTTATGACGAAGAAGTCTAGCAATCAAGTAATCAAAGGAAACATCATCAGTAATAGAATAAACTCAAATTACAAACCACCAGATAAGATGCAATGAAAAGACTATATTACTTCTGTAATATTTCTGAAAAAGATACATGATCTGACTCTAATCATGAAACAAATTCAAATTCTACAAAATAGGGAAATTCTACAAAATAATTCATTTGTATTCTTCAAAATGTCACTGTCCTACAAGGCAAAGAAAAACTGAGAAACTGTTTCAGAAGGAAACTAGAGACATGATAACAAAATACAACTTGTGATTCTGAACCAGACCCTTTTTCTATAAAGGATATTATTAGACAAGTGGTAAGACATAAATGAGTTCTAAGAATTAGACAGTAATAATATATTTATGATTTTTATAGTCGTATTCTGGTTATATAAAAGAATGTCCTTTGAAATGTTTGTTGAAAGTACACACTAAAGTATTTGAGAGTAATGGGGCAAAAAGTCAACAACTTAATTCTTAAGTTGTTTAAGAATAGAAAGCTCTTTGTATACCCAACCTTTCAATAAATCTGTGATTGTGTCACACACACACACACACACACACACACACACACACACACACAGACAACAGGAGTTCTATCTGCCCAGGGTTCAGAAATCAGACAGGAGGGAGGAGCAGAGTTGTCTGCAACATGGTCTTGCTCTGCATATCGCATTGTCTGACCTTATTTCATAAGAGGGATAGAAGGGGCTTCTGATGGCTAACCTCGCTGACTATTTTAATAAACACAATCACTTGTTCAATTCATACGTAGCAAGTCCTATGACAACTCTTCTCAGTTCATTAATAAAAATCACCTTTGTTCAAGCCCATCTTTTCATTCTCTGACAAGCACAACATTGTCCAATTAATAAAGCAGTAAATACCCTTTTCATTAATCTCCCCCATTCGCATTTGCACTGTCAATTTTACATATTCAACTGAAATTAATTTTCATTCCTGAGAAATAATGAGATGTATACACTTAATAATGGAAAAATAAACTATGCTACTCTTCTCGAGGAAATAAGCACATTAGTTTAATCTGGAATCTCTTAAATGTCAAAGAACTGGTATCCCCTTTGAACTTCTCTTTTTTAAAGCTAATAATAATATACTCATTCAGACTTCTTCCCTATCCTATGAAAAGGTATTCATTATTTTCAACATTAAATGAAATCTAACATTTCTTAAATGTTTTTATATATATCAGAAATATACATACCTCATCTACAAAGTTAATGGCATCAAACCAGTCTTGAAGAGCTTCAAGGCAGTATCTCACAACATTTCGGGTATATTCTTGAGTCTCCTAAAATAATCAGTTATATAATTTTTATAATAAATAAGCATGTATATTTTCAACATCAAATGCTATGTAATACATAAAAATTACATGCATTGTATATACATAGGGGGACCCCCTCCCAAAAAAACCAGAATTATCTTTTGAAGGGCGGGCCCTTGTAGTACACTCAGAATTTGTTCCACTGGATCAAATGGTCAACCAAAGTTTTCATCTGGAAGTTTTGAGAAGATTGTATCACAATTTGCAGAAAAACATCTCAAGTTGTGGCCAAACAGGTGACAGGTTCTTCCACCATGACAATGCAGCTGCCCACAATGCACTGAGTGTTCATCAGTTTTTGATCAAAAACGGCATGACCCCCACAACCCACCCTTCCTATTCACCCAATCTCTCCCCAGGCGACTTCTTTTTTTTGTTTCCCCAGATGAAAAAATTCCTCAAAGGGAAATGTTTTGCCAATGTGGAAGAGGTGAAACAAAAAACAACAGAAGCACTAAAAGGCATCAAAATTGACAAGTGCAAAAACTGTTTTGAGCAGTGGAAAAGCACCTCAATAGTGTATTACATCAGAGAGTGCTTTGAAGGTGACCAAAGTTTAAACATGTAAGAATGAATATACATTTTTTTATAAATAAATTCCAAGTTTTTGGGGGTCTCCCTCATATATACCAATAACTGGAAGTTTTGGTAAACTTATACTGACTCTGTCCTTGTAATCTTAAAAGTATAAACTTTATTGAGGACTATTCTACCTCTTGAAAGACAAGAAGCATTAGGCAACCAATAATGGGTAAGACAAAATAATAAAGATGAATGTGGAGAAGAAATTTCAAAGATTATTTGCAATTAGGGGCAGGCTGAGAAAATCTAACAATGAATTCCAACCTGCCTAAGAATAAAAATTACTGTCTTGGGTCAGTTTTCACAAAGCTGAATTCAATTTGAAACAAAATTTAAGACTGTATTACATATTATACATAAGTAACAAACTATGTTTTTACAAATCTTTTTCTTAATTATCTTGAAAGTAAATACAGAAATTAACAAAAATATTTCCAACATACCCTAACTTTACAATGTGATAAAAGCCCCCACATCGGCTGTGCACAGGCCTCAAGTTCAGCAGCGAAGGCAGCATAGTAGGTCTGAGACTCAAATTCCACATGCTCATTTAGTTCTCGCTTGTTTAAGTTCATACCTTGCAAAAATTAAAACAGATATAAACCTTGTCATATGGAAGAAAGAATTCAGATAAAAGTCAAGTCAAATATTCCCAGTTCCAAGCACATTTTATTAATACGTACACAAATGGCATTAATGACATAGTACACACAGAAATAAGTCAATTATTAAAAATGAAATATTCTATACCACACCTTAAGGTTTGAAAAAAAAGAAAGAATCTAGTCCTTTAAAAATTTTTTACAAACTAGGTTTTCTTAGAATTTTTTGCAAATTGTCTCTTATATTAAAAAAATTGAATATCTTTAAATAAGAAGGTTAAAACCATTTTAATTGATCTTAGTTGAAATTTTTATGGAAGTGTTATGAATCTTTCTTGGATAATAGATTTCACATTTCTAGATTGATGGTTTCAAATGCTTAAAAAAAATACCCCTATTTCTTTTCCAATAATTTCACATTTTTCCTAACTCTCTAACATGTTTTCATGAACAATTTATTAAAGTACTTACAAACAACAGTTAATTAGAATAATGAGATGTTTCAAGTATAGTCAGAATAATGTGATATTCTGTTTTAATCAGTATTTAATAGTTTAGCATTAGGCATTTTATAAACCAAAAATTTAAGAAAAACAGTAAAATTCGTACCTTGAAAGAAAGATACAAAATTCATCCACGTAACTAACAAACCATGATCTTCCAAAAATCTCTTAGCCACACTTTGATGTGAAAGAATATTAATAAAATCACTAACAAGAGGCCAGTAAGTGTTATTCTTCAGTAATGCTTCTCCACAGTTTACTACCACATGTAAACTATTTTCTTCATCTAAAAAAAAGACACACACAGCCCAAAAATAAGTAAGTTTTTTAAAAAGCTCTCTCCATCTTATCAATCTTATTCCATTTTATCAATCAAATCATGTATAATCTCAAGAGATATATATTTAATTGCTTTCGTCTATTCAAAGAATACATAAACTTAGATTTAAATTTTTAGCATAGACAAAAGAAAAAAAAACACATATAAACTTCTTAAGCCTTAAAAAAAGTCCTCAAAGTTTAAGTATATTGTTGGGGGAAAATAGGCTTATACAAAATCTTTAACATTAAAAATTAGTAGTATATATGCATTAGCTCTCTTAACCTACTCGACTTAACTATTAACCTATTCCAACTTAACTGACTCATGGATTAAGGAGCCCTTTGTGCCTGACCACTTTAAAACATATTAATACCCACAATACACAGAATGCTCAAGACTAGTAACCTATTCCCTAGTACACAAGCTGAGGCATTTGATTACCCAGAGTCAGTTTTTGTTTCTGTTCATGCTAACTGTTCTTTTTATCATAATTAGAAAATTTAAAGCAAAAGTATATGAACTAATGAAATATGAATGCAAAAGGAGAGATATTACTGTAACTGAATCATATGCTTTTGAGAGACAATAAAAATAAGAGAAAAAAGCTTAAAACCTTGAGGCAGAAAAATAAAAGCCTAGAAGTATTTTACACTCAGACTGCTTCACAAAGATCTTTATATTCTAACTCTAAAGAGACTAAAACTGGGAATTCACAGATAATAACTTTATAGATATGGCATATATCAAAAAGGTAAGAGAGAACTCCAGTTAAGGAAACCATATACTGAAAATACATTACCCTAAAATAAAAGATTGGAGAATAAATATGCATTTCTGTGTTTTAAGTTAAAATACAAGGTTTATGGTCCATATCTTCCCCCTCCCCCAGAGGTGGGGTCTCACAATGTTGCCCAGACTGGACTTGATCTTCTGGGTTCAAGTGATCCTCCCATCTCAGCCTCCCCAATAGCTGGGATTACAGGCATGTGCCACCATGCCTGGTTTGTATCGTTTTTTAAAAAATGGTTCCTCACTTTAACCAACTTGTTCAACTAACCACCTACCTGTCAAACTCATCAATGAATGAGAAGGGCCTCTACTGCAATTCTTAATTTCCATACATTAAATTTAGGTTTCAGTCCATGGAATTATTTCATCAAACTCTTAAGTTTAACAATACACAGAAACACAAGCTAAGTATGCTCCCTTTAAGTAGTTCTCAATGAGGAAGAGAGGGTATAACTCAATGAGAGAGTAAGAGTTAGGGGCTTTTTACAAAGTACCCACACCTGAGAGACTGAAAAGCATCCTCTTCCCCCACTGACAATTAACGTGAGCTGATAAGCCCCTGATATTGATGGAATTGCTGAGAAAAGTTGCGGATTAACAAAAATAAAAAGTTAAAAATCGAGTATCACTGTTCTATTTAACTGAAATCAGAGAAGGAATAAGAAGAACATAATTAATCAGAATCACTGTTTTCCTGACACTGCTTTAAATACCACCGTACTCATGAAAAACGCCTTGGAATCTTTAGTGAAATAAAATGATTAGAACTTATATTTTTACCCAAACCAGTACTTTCCTCATTACAAATATAAAGAGCAATGATTCAGTATTAAGTAAATTTGCTCATCAAGGTATTCAATCAATCTCTGAAAATAAAGTGGTAAATAAATCAAGAGTTACATGGTCTCTCTCTCTCTCTCTCTCTCTTTTGATATTAATATCTAAGAAGACAGAGTGTACTATGAGCTATAATAGGAAAACTACAGGGAGTCAAAAGAACAAACAAAGCTAATCTACAATTCAAGAAAAGACTCTCCTGAGAAAGTGATATTTAAACTGGGACCTATAAAATAAAGCAGGAATTAGGATTAGCCAGGTAAACTAGTGATGGGAGAGCAAGTAAGTAGAGGGAGCACTACATAAGAAAAGGTTAGAATCTCTTGGACAAAGAATGCAGCAGATAGGTGGTACAAATGAGGCTCAACAGCCTTATAAACCAGCAACAGAAGAGAACAGCAAGCCACTGGGAGTTTTAAGAGATCAGATGTATAGAGGAGAGTGACTGAAGGAGGGTGAGATGACTACAGATAAGAAGCCTAGAGATGGCAATGGCTGAACTATGGTGGTAGCATGAAGATGCAGAGATGAAGAGAAGAGGCTGTATAAAGATGTTTAGCAGGCTTAAGTAGTGCAGTTGGTAATGTCTGCTATATCTACAAGAAGTCAAAGAGGACTCCTACGTTTGTAGATTGGGCAACAATTTTGAAGGTTAGACAGTGGTATCCATAACACACAGTCACAGTTGGGGGCAGTGGCTCATACCTGTAATCCCAGCACTTGGGGAGGCCAAGTCGGGAGGATGGCTTGAGCCCAGGAGTTCAAGACCAGCCTGGGCAGTATAAGCAAGACCCTGTCTCTACAAAAAATTAAAAAATGAGCCAGTCATGGTGGCACACACCTGTAGACCCAGTTACTCTGGAGACTGAGGTAGAAGGATCACCTGAGCCCAGGAGGTAAAAGACTGTAATGAGCCATGATCACACCACTGCACTTGTCTTGATGCAACAGAGTGAGACCACAAACAGAACACACACACACACACACACACACACACACACACACACACACACACACACACACAAACGGGATAATGGAAAAGAAGCCTGATTGATGAAACGATGAGTTTTTGCTGTGGACGCTGTGTATTTGAGGTACTTACATACATCCAAAGAATATAGTTTAATAAGTAGTTAGTTATGGAGGATGGAAGACCAATCTGGATTAGCGTCTAAAACAATCCTAAGTCAGGCAACACATGGTATTAGCCTCCATTTTACATAGGGTGTTTCTTAAGACAAATTCTAAAATTTCAGGGACATGGAAAATTATGAATTATGTCTGGAACCACAAAGCAGAATGATGCAGAACTGAATATAACAAAGTAAAAGGTAGAGACTATATACTACTAGAAGGCTTTTTTCCTTTTAGTCGTCAGCTGTTGCTATGGCCATGTGAATTCCCACGGCATCAACTCCATTACTTACTAATAGTATAAATACCTGAGCTGGGCCTGTAATCCCAGAACTTTGGGAAGCCAAGGCAGGAGAACTGCTTAAGCCAAGGAGTTTGAGACCAGCCTAGGCAACATACAGAGACTTTGTCTCTACAAAAAAAATTAGCTGGACATGGTGGCACACACCTGTAGTCTCAGCTACTCTGAGATGGAAGGATCAGCTAAGACCAGCAAGTCGCTGTGGTGAGCCATGATCATGCCACTGCACTCCAGCCTGGGCAACAGAGTGAGACCCCTACTCAACAACAAGGATAACAACAACAACAAAAAAGTGGTGACCATATATAAATTATCATATTAACTGGGACTTTTTTAATAGAAAAAGGGATAATATTGATAACAACATCAGAACAAACAACATAACTTGGGATTGTTCTGGGAAAAGTAGGGCATGTGGCCACTTGAGTCACAGATAATTTTGTAGAGAACAATTTCAACAGAACAATGGGAGCAGACACTAGATTGAGGTAGATTAGTGAGTGATCAGACGGTAAGAAAACAAACTCAGGAAAGCTGATATTAAAAAAAATTAAAATGGGAGGCTGACTTAGACACATCTTTTTCTCATTCTTCCCTAAAGACCAAATGCAAACCATATGTAATAAGCACAGCTAAGTCAGTTAGTCAAGAAAATAGACTCAAGATTCTTTTAAAAGAGCAGATATTTCTAAATTTTAAGTTTTCTAGTTTATATATCAAAAACACTATCTTGTGAAAATTCTTTCTCTAAATATATAATTCTATATAATAATATCATTGATATAGCCAAATGACAATATTTCAAAAAAAAGAAAAAGCTCAATCTCTAAAAAAGAAAAGGTCATGTTACATGAAGTTAGAAAAACAATAACATACTAAAGTAGCTTTTAAATTTTCCTTCACAAATGTGAAAAGGTATATTGCTTAATGTAAATAATGTGCTGTTTCCACCATACCTACAATGGGAAGGCAGAGTCACACAGTGGGTAAGAAAGAATATAAGCTCTGAATTTAGACGCCCAGCCCTAACACTTAGAGCTGTAAGACCACAGAGTGTTGACTTCAACTCCCTAAGCCACAGTTGCCTCATTATCAAATGGAGATAACAATATCTACTTTAATTATTTGATGGTGAAATGAGATAATGCATATAAAGCACTGAGGAAAGAGCCTGGCATATAGTTGACTGCTGAAAAGATGGTAGCTACCATAATTAGCTAGCTATCATTATATATAAGGCATTGTGCCCTTCACTGAGCATACGTCAATTTTCAGGATATGGTGTCACATCTGAGAACAAAATGACTATCAGTATAAGGAGAAAATAGTACCTAATGTGCACAAGGAGGTAACAATGGAACAAGGCAAGACTCAACTACAAACTCTCTCCTCCTCAAAGAATGAAAAAGTCCTATGATTTAATTTTAAGTATTATTTGTTGTTAGTTCAGTTCCAGGTGCCAAAAGTATCAATACGGTCCAGCTGTATCATGGTAAAGAAAAAGGTTCTAACATCATGAGTCATGAAATCCTTCTTGGTTCTGTCATTACTAGCTGTATAATCTATGGTACTTAACTTTCCTAAGCCTCAATATCCTCACCTTTAAAGGATAATAATAATGTGAACTCATTACTGAGATAACATATGAATAGCAGTCAACAGTGCCTGGTACATAGCAAATATTCAAGTAACAAATAATTTAAGAGAAGTAAAGTTAAGATGAAAAGCCCCACAAAAATGATGATGGGTATAGAAATATCAGCAGGTTGAGGAGTATCAGCCACATAGTGAAAGAAAAGAAAAAAGAAAAAAAAAGTTCTCACCATGGAAATACAGAAAAAGTAAGAGGTATCCAAATTTAAAATTATAACAGTATAAGCATATAAAAATACCTAAGGCTGACAGCAACAAATTTATGATAAAAAAAAGGAACATATCTAATAGGGAAATGACTAAATAAATTATGATCTAGCCATATGCTATTAATACTTGCAATTATTAAAATATATGTTTTGACATGTACTATGGTAACATTTCAAAAGTATATATTTGTATCTATAAATATAGTCTTATTACACAAAGATAGAAAAGAAATACAGCAAAGTGTTACAACAGTTATTTATGAATAGCAAAACTGATTTTAACTTTTTATTTAAACTTCACTTGAAATTTTCAAAACTTGTGTTAACAAATATGTATTACTTTTATAATATTTTTAGAGGTTTTTTTAAAGCATAAAATGTTTTCAAGGCTAGTTATACAAAGTATACTAATAACAAAACTAGTGAATATAATTCTGCGTTACCTTGTAGTTCACTTTTAATAAGGCAACTTTCCATCATGTATAATAGCACAGTGACCATAATATCCAGCAGCTGACATTCTTCTGTTACCTGTCTGGCTAGCTCCTCATTGCTGAACAACTGAACGCTTATATGCACAATTCTGTTAGACATTGTATCTGATTCATGACTTTTCTTCAGTGTTTTCATAATGAAAGCATAATGTTGAACAAAAGTTTTTGTAAAAGCAACCTGTAAACATTTTTAATAGAAAAAAACATTATTTTAACTTTAAATTTAAAACATTTAAAATATATTAACATTTTACAGCTCTTAGTAGTTTATTGTAAAGTCTAAAGTGACTGAAAAAATAATCCCGATGATGAGGGTAGTCTTTTCCTTTTTTGGAAAATTAGCAAAATACTTTGATGGTTAAAAAAAATATCATAGGCTCTTTAAATTATTAAAGTTGTAAAGCAATTACAAATACTGTGGTTTAAGAATATAATACAAAGTTATATTTTGCTTACAAATGTATCAATTTACTATGGTCAAAGTATGTCTTTGTTCTGTGCTGCCTAGTGTAACAACAAAACCTAACGTCTCAGCTACAAACTATCACAGAAGATTTAATATGACTAAACAAGTGAATCAATGTGATTACTTTAAAACAATTACCATCTTCTATTTGATCCAAAAGCTGACCATTAATCTGACTAAAGGCTCTGCAGTACTACTTATATTTACCTTATTTCCTGTCTGTGTACCATGTACATTTCCTCTATTGTTTTCTCTAGCAGGTATAAAGACACACAAAACAATGGCACTATTAAAGTGACACTCCTAACCTATACCATAAGAATTACAGCATGTTTTATTTTCTTTTCATACACTTTGCCAAAATCATATGGTAGTAACAGGTAGGTTCAGACTCTCTGGAACTAGAAACTTCACCTACTACATTTGTACATGAGTCAATAACTTGTCTCTTTAACAACTGTGGCCAGAAACTACTTGACTCATATTTTTTCCATGTTTGATCCCACAATCTAAACTCACTTGCCCCCATTAAACATCCTCATGGCACCTTGTACCTCTCCCTTCAGAGGACTTAGGACAATATGTAACTACATTGTTGTTTTTAATGTTTGCCCCCAGTACTCCCTTCAGACCAAGTTCCATGCAAAAAATCAAGTTTTTTGTTTTGTTTTGTTTTGTTTGAGTTGGAGTCTCACTCTGTCGCCCAGACTGGAGTGCAGTGGCCGCTCCCAGCCACCACAGCGTTGACCTGCTGGACTTGGGCTATCCTTCCGCCTCAGCCTTCCAAGTAGCTGGAACTACAGGCACGCGCTACCATGCCTAGCTAATTTCTGATTTATTGCGGAGATGAGGTCTCGCCAAGTTGCCCAGGTGGGTCTCAAACCCGTGGGCTCAGGCAATTCACTCACCTCAGCCTCCCAAAGCGCAGGATTACAGGCTGAGCCACCGAGCCCGGCTAAAAGCAACTTTTTTAAATTACGCTGAGTATTGCTGCTTTACCACAAAGTTAAAACGCTTTTTTTTTTAGAACTTGTGTTAGCAAGAGAAGATGCTAAAGCTGATGCATAGTGTTATAAAAATTCTCAGCTGAGAATTATATCAAACAAGATTTAGTAATGAAAAAGCAAAGAAAGGAAAGCAAAGTTCAGAAAAGAAGGGAAAAATATAGATACCTTATACTCTTGATCTGGAAGCATGTTGAGTAAGAAAGTTACCATCTTCTGAGGGAATTCATACTTTATAGTCCAAAACAATAGTTCTTCTAGGAAGCTTTTATGTTTCAAAACATCCATTATGGATTGATCTACATAAGAAAAAGAAGATGTATCAGTAGAAGAGATACTAACTTCACTAGAGAAAATTACTAATATGTTGCTTACTATAGTATAGAGAAGTATCTACTTTTTTCTGGCACGAATACACCAAAAATATTATAAAGAGTTTTAGATATGTTACCTGCTTTGGGCTCACGATGTCCTCTTCATGCACAAAAGAAATGAGAAATGGATACCCCTTTTGAATAAAAGTATTCAAAGGAGGATACCATTATCTACTAGAAAGCCTATTTCATTTTTTTTTTTTAATACTCATTTACTGGTCCACTCTTGTCTTAGATTAGAAAGTCTAGGTACTACATGACTGAGTTCTCTGCTTACACTCTCACAAATGCTAAAATCAAAGTGGCGACTGGGTGTTTTTTTCTGGAGGCTGGGGAAGAATTCACTTCCAAATTCCTTCAAGGTTTGGTTAAATTCAGTTCCTTGTGGTTGTTAAGACTGAAACCGTTTCCTTGCTAGCTGTCAGCCAGGGGGGGCTCTCAGCTCCCCCCAGAGGTTGTCTATATTTCTTGCCACCAGGTTCCCTTCATAGTCAAATCCAGCAACAAAGAATCTCCCTCACCATCAAATTCTACCCATGAGAAAGCCTATTTCCAAGGCCAAGTGAGGACTAGTCTGTCTCTTGCAAAGCTCTGCATCCTTGTCATGCTTAGTCCACAGAAGTTCTCAACAGGTATATAATTAACTCGACAATATGAATACTTTTGCGATCTCTTTCTCTCACTAATAATTTCTCTCACTAATTTTTTTCCCTGCAAATGAACTAGAAAATCCTAACAATTAGGACAGGCACAGTGGCTCACACCTGTAATCCCAGCACTTTGGGAGGCCAATGTAAGAGGATTGCTTGAGCCCAGGAGTTTGAGACCAGCCTGGACAACATAGTGAGACCTCGTCTCTATTTAAAAAAAAAAATCAAAAAATTATATGGGCTTGGTGGCGCACACCTATAGTGCCAGCTACTTAGAAGGCTGAGGCAGAAGGATCACCCAGATCCAAATGGTCCAGATGGAAGAGAGGGAGGGAGGGAGGAAAACAGGAAGACAGAAAGACAGGCAGGAAGACAGAAAGAAAAGACAGAAAGACAGACAGACAAAAAGACGGAAGGAAGGAAGGAAGGAAGGAAGAAAAGAAGGGAGGAAGGAAGGAAGGAAGGGAGGGAGGGAGGGAGGGAGGGACAAAAGAAAATTCTGACCATTAATCTTTGTCAGAGAAAATGATCTTAAGCTACTGCTCTGGATTGTCGGGTCTACACAAAGACATCAAAAGTATACAGCAAGTGTCAACAATGAATGGACTGGGTCAGTTACACTGCTAAAGCCGGGGCTAAAGTCAGACAAGAGATGTGAAAAACAGCATCATCCACATCAAAATACCCAGGTACAAACCTAACTACATCACTGTTCAAGGTATCCTGCAGGATAACCTTGTAGAGTTTTTTCAGTTAACCCTACTCCAGTTTCACAGTTCTTCTATTATTGAATAATGTGTTCACACCACATCTCACCAGATAATGGATCCAAAAGAGTAACAATAAGCTCAATATGTCATCATGCTCTTGATTTTTTTTATAAGGCACTGAGTTAACAAAACTTGAATCAGTCCTATTAGTCCTATTATAACTTTAATAAAGTTCTGTATTAATAACTAAAGAAAATGGCACCAAAAATCCTATATACTCATATTCTGAAGATATTATGATTTTAACTACAGAGAGACAAAAATAACTCACAATGCCCTAACTCCATTTCAGTGGTGCCATCAGTATAAGCAATATATAATATGGGTTAACATACAAAAACAAGTCACACTATATACATCTATTTTTTACTGGAAATTAAGTAATTATTTTTCAAATCTCAGAATTTTCTACTTGTAAAGCAGAAATCTCTTCTTCCTTAAACAGGTCATCCCCAGGGCATTACAATAATTTAAAAACAAAAATAAACCAGGCTTGCAAGGAATGAGGTAAAATAGATTCATAGGAATTCAGTGACAAACTCCAAGACAAAAAGTAATGAAAATAGGGCCCAAGAGAATCAAGTAGTAGAAATGTAAAAAAAAATCATTAAAAATAACATAGGACAGGCGCAGTGGCTCAAGCCTGTAATCCTAGCACTTTGGAAGGCCGAGGTGAGAGGACTGCCTGAGCCCATGGGTTCAAGAACAGCCTGAGCAACTGGGCAAGACCTCACCTCTACAATAAATCAAAAACTTTGCCAGGCATGGTAGCGCATGCCTGTAGTTCTGGCTACTTGGAAGGCTGAGGCAGAAGGATCGCCTGAGCCCAGCAGCAGGTCAACGCTGGGGTGGCTGTGAGCATGCTACTGCACTCCAGCCTGGGCAACGGAGTGAGACTCCAACTCAAAAAATAAAAAATATATATATAATCCACAGCACACTACTTGTACCTAATCTAATTCTCACAATTCACTTAACACAAATATGATCCAACATTTCATAGACTAACACAATAAAAATCCTCGTAAGTACTTAATGTATTCACAAAGCTGAACAAAACTTGTACTCTTAATCTTAGAATTCATAGTTATGACTCTACAAGTTTGTATAAGTCAAATGAAAAGACTAAAGTCACCATTATTATTATCAAGCATTAAAAAGAAAAGATACAACTTTGTTTAACTTTGTTTAAAATCAATAAAACAATGTGAATATACTATGAAAGCTGTGGTTTCTCCTGAAATGAAAACAGTTGCAGTTATAAAAAATTCAATTATTTTTTAATCTTCAGACAAAAAAAGAAAAACCCAGCAAAGCATTGATTGTTGTTCCTAAAATAGGTGATGCCAAGATTTTAAAGCATACATTATGTACTTTATGTGTAACATTACAGAAATGTGGTTAGAAATGTTTCCATTGGTTATGTTTGACTATTTACCTTTAAAACTTTTCATGACTTTTCACAATGCCTAAACTATCTCAACTCAAATTGTAAAGAGATTTCTGAAGAACCGCTATGCAGTGTAAATGCATGACTAAAGCAAGAGTCTTAATTACACAGCAGAGTTCACACTCTGTAACTCACTAGCTCAATAATCTTGGCCCTCTAGGCCTCAGTTTCTTCATCCTTAAAATTAAGGTTTTGAGACTAGTAGTGATGAGGTTAGCATAGTGCCTAGCCTCTTGTCTACCATTAACTTATTTTATTTTCAGCTTACTCTTAAACTACAGAACCAAATTCTTACAAAAACTAAACCATTCCCTGAATTTCATATATCTTCAAAAGCAACGGTCACTTTTTGAAAACATCTAGGGTTCTGACTCTAAAAGCCATTTCTTTCATGTACATACTTAAACCAAAAAGGATCAAGTCTTAAATCTCTATATCACTTCTTACAACCAGAGGAGGAAAGAGAGGGCATTCAATCTAAACCCACATGTGAAAAAATTCAGGTACAGAAGACAATAAACTTTAACTTATACCTGCATAAAAATGTGCCTTCACTTAGACTGTCACTAGGTTGAAGAAAAACAATGACCTCTTACACTTACCAGGTATTTTCTGGGCATTCCTAAAGCTTTAACTCAAACATATGCCTAACCATGCTCCAACTCAGATGTGTCACTACGACTCAGGTAAATACACGGACAACTCTAGGAAGTTATAGAGCCAGGTAGCCATATTTGGGTTTCTAATTTCCTTCCAACATCGTAGGTTCTCTGTGGAGAACATGTGTGCATCCTGTACTGCAGGTCAAATTTCATACCCTTTGCTTGCAACCAACCCACATGTGCAGCAGGATAAGTAACTTATAAAATCAGAATTAAAAAAGAAGCCTGCAACTGAAAGTATCTGCATGCTCCACCTTTCTAGGCAGATACACTTAATCAGTAGCAGAAGTAAGAATTTACTTGCATCAAAATAATATTTTAACCTCTGGAGACTCTCTAACAGACCACACTAACCCTGAAAATAGACCATGTTAACACATGGAAATCTATGGCAGAAGTCCAAAACACAGGCTGCCACCTAATCACAAGTACTTTAGAAAGGCTTTTAGGGGATGTCAAGTAAATATTGTGGTTAAAAGCTTAGACTTCAGGGCCCAGCAAGGTGGATCACATTTGTAATCCTAGCACATTGGGAGGCCAAGACAGGAGGATTGCTTGAGCCCAGGAGTTTGAGACCAGCCTGGGCAACATAGTGAGACCTCATCTTTAAAAAAGATCCCAAAAAAAATTAGCTGGGCATGGTGGTGTGCACCTGTATGTCTAGCTATGGGGGAGGCTGAGGCTGAAGAATCGCTTGAGCCCAGGAAGTTGAGGCTGCAGTGAGCCAAGATCATGTCTCTGCACTCCAGCGTGGTTGACAGAGTGAGACCCCAGCTCAAAAAAACTTAAGAATCTACCTCTCATTAGCTATAATCTCTAACATGCCTCCATTTCCTCATTCATAAAATGGTAATAATAAAAATGCTCCATATGGTTACTTTGAGAATTAAATGAAATAATGCATGTGAAGTATTTAGCACAATGTCTAGCACATTAAAAAGGTTCAATAAATATTACTCATTATTATTATTAATTTAGGCCCTCACTATAGGCATATCTACTTCCTCCTTTGAGTAAATATCTATGAGCCCTTACTAAGCCTTTACCATGGTTAAGTGCTACTTGTCCATTCCCATTATGTGTATGTGTGTCTGTCTATCTCTCACTCACCATCTCTCTTCTGCTTGTCTTTTTTTCACTCTAGAAATTGCATACTCCAGGTTATAAAAGTATGTAAGCCAAACTAAAACTTTGCACCAAAACACCAGACATAAATCAATCCATCAATGAAAAGTCCTCCTTGGGGAGAGGGGGTTGTCAAATACAATAATGCACATTTTATGAAGAAAATAATGAACAAAACCCAGAGTAAGGGTTTTACTTGTTTGGTGGGGACAACCCCCTAACAACCCTTTCTCAATCATTTAGAAAAATCTAATAACATAACTCTTCCTCTTCCAGCTTTGATGTCAATATGATAGTCCAAGTATTCTTAGTGAGTAAGCATTTTTAGAAGCATTTCATTTAAGAAAAAAAAAAACAATAAAAATACCTTTGGTGCCACTGCTTAGTTTCACCCTCTTTCGCTTGCCCAGTCCTTGACTCCCATCCTGATCATCCTGGAGGAAGATAAAATTAGTATCGTATATAGTCATTTTCATAAATTTATACATTTTGTAAAAATATGTGTGCTTATAAATTAGTTAAATACATATGCATGTTTACATACTATTAATCAACGTATTTTACTTTTATGCTTTTCCTATAATAAAATACTTTTAATGCTAATTTTGATTTTGAAATATAGTGAAAATCTCTAGTATTACAACACAAGAAGCTGGATGCAGTGGCTCACACCTGTAATCCCAGTACTTTGGGAGGCCAAGGCGGGAGGATCACTGTAGCCCACGAGTTTGAGACCAGCCTGGGCAACAGAGCAAAATGCTGTCTCAAGTTTTAAAATTAAAATAAAATTTTTAAAAAACACAAGATCTCTTAAACTTCATCTCTGCTTTTAATGGAAGATGCTTAAACACCTCAAAATGCCAAAATAAAGATTTTCCTAGACTTTTAAGCATAACATCAAATGCACAAAGAAGCTAAAGGAGGAAGTGAGAGAGATTATCATAGGAAGACAGGGAAGAAGGGGAAAGGACTACAACAATAAACAGAGAAAAGGCTTTGAAGAGTCTAAAACAAACAAAATGAGTTCAAGAAATCAATTTCTAGCTGGGCTCGGTGGCTCAGCCTGTAATCCCGCGCCTTTGGGAGGCTGAGGTGAGTGGATTGCCTGAGCCCGCGGGTTCGAGACCCGCCTGGGCAGGCGAGACCTCATCTCTACAATAAATCAAAAAATCAGCCGGGCGTGGTAGTGCATGCCTGTAATTCCGGCTACTCGGAAGGCTGAGGCGGAAGGATCGCTGGAGCCCAGCAGGTCGAGGCTGCGGTGGCCGGGAGCGGCCACGGTACTCCAGTCTGGGCGACAGAGTGAGACTCCAACTCAAAAAAAAAACAAACAAACAAATCAATTTCTAAAAAATAAGCATAACATATTAGAAGTTGGAGTTGACAGTTTAAAAATAATAATAAAAACAAATTAAAATATGCCTAGGAGAAAAAACAAGAAGGAAATAAAGGCATCTCTGTTCACATGTGATACATGCATTCCTGAAAAACTTTACGCTAAAAATAACAAGGTTTATGGGGGAAAGGGTGAGGGGCAGACCACTCATATTCAATTCAAGTTTGAAACCAGAGAAGCAACAAAAGCAGTAATTGGTACCTAGGGAGGTAACTTGTATGCCCAGGCAAACATCTTGGGTTGGTTTACAGCTGTCTCAGAGGATATTAACACTGCACAACAATATTAACACTGCACAACAATAATAGAGTGAGAAAGCTAGCTAGCTGAAACAAAGCAGATGGAAAAGGAGCAAAGAAAGGAACCTGTCACTTATGAAACCAAGGTAAAGCTAGGGGTGCACCTCTAGGGGAGGAAGCCCTGGGTGCAGGTGCTCATTTCTTTTTTTTTTTTTTTTTTGAGTTGGAGTCTCACTCTGATGCCTAGACTGGAGTGCAGTGGCCGCTCGCGGCCACCGCAGCCTCAACCTGCTGGGCTCCAGCGATCCTTCCGCCTCAGCCTTCCAAGTAGCTGAAATTACAGGCGCGTGCTACCACGCCCGGCTGATTTTTTATTTATTGTAGAGATGAGGTCTAGCCAAGTTGCCCAGGCAGGTCTTGAACCCGCGGGCTCAGACAATCCAACTCACCTCAGCCTCCCAAAGCATGGGATTATAGGCTGAGCCACCGAGCCCGGCTAGGTGCTCATTTCTAATTTTCTTAGTATATTGCTGAAAAGGCTCCTTCCTGTTTTCTTCACAGAAGATTTTATGGTCTTCTTCTCTGAACTAATGGTTATGATTCTAGTCCACTACCCCAGCTCTCCTAAACCAGAGAATATTGCATATGAATCAACAACTTCCACAATACATTGACATCTTTTGCCTGTTTTCCAAATGCACCGGGGCCAACTGGTATTATAACAACGTGGGGTGGAATTTTGGCAGCCAGTTGTGCTAATAATGGTGTTGGGGGCAGGTTAGAACTGTAGTATGAACTCTAAGACACTTTCTTAGAAAGTGAGACATCAAATCTCCAAAACAGAAAAGTAGTCTCAGCTTCATGCTGCAACTCGATTTACTAGTGTAGCTTCCTTGGCCTAAACATAAGTCTTAACTTCAGGTTTCTGTCAAGTCCAGCATCGATCCTCAGGGTCATTCTCTGGGGTTTTCCAGAGCTACCATTTAGCTCAGTCATTCAGCATTGACTGAGCACTTCTATATGCCCTCCCTGTTAATCTCCATCTTTGCCAGGTCTCTGTAGCTATCCAATTAACAGCAGGACTGACAGTCAAACTACAATCTCCTCCTCTGCCACTCTCACCTTGCCCCTGGAAAAATTCACCAGAATAAAATTTGGAGCTTTAAAAGACAGGAATGTAAAATAATACTACATGGCTCAAAGGGTTTAGAAGTTTAAGACTTGAGCTAATAGCCATTTATGAAACTGTTCCCCAAGAACTAAGAGAAAAGACAAACTTGGCAAAACATGCTATGTCCAAGATTAGGATTACTTCATGATGTCAAATATAAACTTTCTATGAGGAGTATCTGTGATCAAGTAATGGTCATAGAAATATGAAATTCTATAAATTTCCTGGCCTTATAGGCTTAAAGGACAAGTAGAATTGGCCAAGCAAAGAAGAGGAGACAGCATGAACAAAGGCACAAAGACAAAAGCCTAGAAACGAACCACTGAGTTGAGCTCAACACCATGGAAGATATTAAACACAGCTAGGAAGGGAAATTATCTCCATCTGAACTGGTGGAAAAATTGGTACTTTTGTTCACTGGTGAGAATATATAGTAGAACAATTTCCCTGAATGATAATATGGCAATACACATGTCAAAGAGCTTTAAAGTATATTTATGTTTGGAACAGAAATTCCAGATCTAGGAATTTATCCTAAAGAAATAGAAATAATCAGACAAGTGAATTGGAACTATAAGCAAACTATTCACCACAATTTTATTTATAATAGAAAAATAAAAAATAAAAAAACCCTGGCTTTCAACAGAAGAGAATTAGGCAAATAAATTACAGCACACCTGTACAATATGAAGAAAACAATGCTAGAGCTCTATATTCATTGTGACACTATAAATGCTCAAAAACTATTATTGTAAGTGAGGAAAAACATGTTTAAAATAGCACATGCAGCATTTAAGTATTGATAATAGACCTTTAAAAAGTTAATATACTCCTTGTTATAAGAAAAGTAAGTTATAAAAGAATATGTATAACATGAAACCATTAAAATATACCATATATAAAACCTGTTAGAACATCAGATTTTACAGTGAGTCGCCTTTAAGTGATATAATTTTAGGTAATTTTATTATATTTCTGTTAATATTTATTTTCTATTTATTAAACAATGAATATATACTTTTTTGTTGTTGTTGCTGTTGTTATTTTTGAGTCAGAGTCTCACTCTGTCACCCAGGCTGGAGTGCAGTGGCACATTCCCGGCTACCACAGTCTCGAACTGCTGGGCTCAGGTGATCCTTCCACCTCAGCCTTCCAATTAGCTGGAACTACAAGCATGCATCACTACACCCAGCTAATTTTTTTATTTATTATATAGACAAGATCTTGCCAAGTTGCCAAGGCTGGTCTCAAACCCCTAGGCTCAGGCAATTCTCTCACCTTCACCTCCCAAAGTGCTAGGATTACAGGTGTGAGCCACTGCACCCTGCCAGATTGTGGTTTTAAATTAATAAATATTTTTTTAAATACCAGTCTGATTTTCAATACTAATTGCAATAATCTGCTAAGATAAATTACTATATTACCTATTATAAATCTCATATTTTTACCTTGAAAAAGAACAATACTTTTTAACAAACAGGAATAACTCCCAACAATTGGAATTTCAGGTATTAAAGAAGATGAAAACAAAACAGTTATCTAGATCATAATTTCCCATCCCTCAAAATTCATTATGGGGAGTTGAAATTCTTCCCATTTATCCATGAGGAAACAGTACAGGAGTCTAGGAGAAGAATACGGTCCAAGTGATAAGAGGAAATAAATCAAGTACAACTCCAACCCAGATAACATTTGTACAGCCCTCAGAAACACTTTCCAGTTCTTAACTAGTCCCCGGGCAGGGAAGAAAACAACATTGCTCCATGTGTTTCAGGCACAAAATATGGAATGGACACTTGGTCTAAATTATTTTGGACAAGAAGCAAGATGATATGAGACCAAAAAAAAGTGAAAGAAAATAAAAACAGTTTCAAACTCCCAGTCTGCAAAATCTACAGATGGTTTCTCAACACAAATTAACCTTTCTTTCTTTGAAGATTTATTAAACAGATTAAACTATGTAAGCTCCATAAAAAGAAGTCAAGTAAATTCACAGCTGGCTTAAACAATACTCAAAGAGTGTTAATACAGAATACCCAAAACTAGAAGGAATATTTAACAGATCAGGTTACAAAAATGAAATCCAAAGGAAATCTTGAAAGATTTCGAACAACAGATGAAACTTAAAGACTTATGTAAATCCCTATAATCTGAGATTGTTTGCTTTAAATCAACTTTACAAGTACAAAAGGAGGGAGCTCTAACTTGTCAGCTGTAAGTTGAGGGGAGCGGTGAGGGGTGAGCCTGAGTTAGCATTTTCTTTCAACTCGGTGGCTCCTGCCAACAGTTTAGGATAGCTGCTAAAAAGCTAGCAAAAATTGGGGGCCTTAATGAAGACACAACATGCTTAGCAAAAGATGCCCATCACTATTCACTGAATCAGAACACAGATTTTAAAAGGGAATAAATTTACCAGACAGATGAAGAAAGATCTATGTACAACAGAGAATATTAAATAACTAAAAGTAAATATTTAAAGGAGCATCATATAGAAATAAAAATAAAACTCTTTCTAGAGGGCAAAACAAAAATGTGTGAAATATTTGTAATATTCAACAATACTGAGAAGAACTTCTTAATAATTAGGGCTATCAAGCAAAAAATAGGCTGCCTCATAAACTAGGTAAG